ACACTTTTTTTTACTTTCCCAACTCTCAGTAATATTTTTCCCTATTCTTCAGTAATATGGTCATGTTGTTTTTCTTTGAATAATATTTTACAAGCATGTTTTCTTTACTTTTCTGTTTCTGTATTATTTGTCCAGTACTCAGAATACTGATTGTCCAGAACTATTCAGTGTGTGGTGGTGGAAGACAAGCATTCTTATTATTTTTGTATGGAACCAATAGTTCTGTTTTTCTCTTGTTCCTTGCTGCATTGGAAGAGGGCCTATTTTCAGATTCTCTTGTAGTTGAGCAATAAAAGACTGGCCTGGGTTCATGTTAGACGTTTGTGCTAAAGGACATCAAGGTTTATTACACAAAAACTGGATGTGGGAGAATTTTTTATATTAGTAATTATGAAAATAAAAAATTTCTTGCATAAGAGCCACAACAGGAAATTTGGAGCATTAACAAAATATCTAAAACATAAAACTTCAATAAAGTAAGAGGTTCTTCTGTGGAAACAGGTGAAGAGAGAGGATAGTCTGCTGTGTATATGAATTGAGAGAGGCAAAGAGAGGTGGTCATAGCTTTCTAGTTAAATGGCTAGGACCTTGAGCAACCTTGCAATGACATTTTTCTCTAAGCATGTGTCAGCAAGGTACAGTTCTACAGTGGAGTCATTACCAGGCAGAGCCCTAGAATTCATCCATCCAGAGAATTATCTCTTCCTCCTTAAGGGCTCAGCATCTTCACTTGCTTCCTGCCTCTTCTGATAAGTTCACTTTACCAGATAGCATCTTGTTTGTGTTGACCTCCCGAAGGAGTGACGCTCATCTATCTCCTTGAATTGTGCTTCCTTGTTTGACTGATGCTAGCTCACAATGCCCCAGGGCAGACATATGAGCCCAAGAAGATGACGGTGTTACTATACACACTTGGTAAATGATATAATAGGGACTCCTTAGGGCTCAAAGAAGCCAGCCTGATTTGATCCTCTCCAAGTTTCTTCTCATCCTTCAAAATAGTTGAGATGGTAGTTAAGGTGCATTTTGACATAATGATTAAACAATGTGTAAATATAAAACTCATAACACAGTAAGGCAATACAAAGTCCAAACAGTTCTATATCAACACAGTACTGAAATGCAGGTGTAGGAATCTTTAGGACTGTCTTTGGTTTGGAAAGTGGAAAGCCCGGCAACAGTCCTAGTAGAAGGCAGACATCTTGTAGAAAGAAAATAAATGGAATTACAACGTAGAGGCAGGTATGCTGGTTCTTTTGGGGGTGTGTGGGGGGGGGGGGCGGGGGCTATGGCAAGAAGATCATACCCTTGAGTCCGTCCTGAGCCGCTTGATAAGACACTGTCTCAAAAAGATGACAAAAAGGGCCAGAGAGATAGTTCAGCAGTTAAGAGCAGTGGCTGCTCTTCTAGAGGAACCAGGTTCAATTCCCAGCAGCCATATGGCAACTCACAGCCATCTGTAACTTCAGATCCAAGGGATCTGGTGTCTTCTTCTCACCTCTGCAGTCAACAGGCACACACATGGTACACAGACATATGTGGAGGTAAAACACCCATCCACATAAAAAAATAATTAACTAATAGAAAGGAAACCATACTGAAATTTGCTATTTTAATGGAAGTTGAATAGTTTCTCTATTTCTAATTAAAATATGCTTTTTGTATGTAGATGATCAGCTAGGCCTGTGAATAGCTATCAGAGAGAGGTATCAAAGAATCAGGCAGCACGATTCTGGTGGACACCTTGAGACCTAGCAACTTTCTTATCTATTACTGGAGACCCACATAAATTGTTTCCCTTGCTCCCGTCTACCTTAATGGGAACTGGGAACCCAAGGACTGTCTATGGTGCAGTAGTTAACTTGGCAACAGGAAAGCAATGACATGTCTGTGAGCATCAGAAAAGATGGCTTTGCCATGTGTGAGGGCCCGCTGCTTGGCCCAATGCTTAGCACTGAATAGGTCCTTCACCTGAATTGATAAACAGGCTAGCTGGGTGAATGAATACAAACATGAAGGAACATTAAAAACAAATGCAGTCCTCTCCACATCTAATTTGGGAGACATTTGTGTCTACTCTGAGGTATCAGTGAAAAACTTTATGCATCTGCGAACCTGATTTTCTGTTTATTTGGAAGAATATGTTTATGTATGTGTGTATGCATACTTATATATGTATTAGTCATGTATGTGTAGATGCATACTTATATATAGATTAGTCTATTTTCTGTTGCTATAATGAAATACCTGAGGATGGATAGTTTATGAACAAACAAGGCTTACCCAGAATACAGTTTTGGAGGCTGATGGTCAGTTATGGTCAGTACCATTTTGATCTGGCCTCCAGAGATCGGGCTTCCTACTGACTAGCTCTTACGCTTTTACTTAGCCCATTTCTGTTCATCTATATGTCACCACGTTTTCCATGGCTTTACCTGTGTGCCATTACATGCTGCTCCCTGGACGGCAGGCTAGCATCTCCTGACTCAGCCTTCCTCTCTCCAGAATTCTCCTTATCTGCTTATCCTGCCTATATTTCCTGCCTGGCTACTGGTCAGTCAGCATTTTATTTATCAACCAATCAGAGCAACACATATTCACAGTATACAAAACATCTCACAGCATCACAGAAACAAGATTTAGCTGGAAAATGTATGAGGTTGTTTTTTTTGTTTTTTGTTTTTTGAAATGGGTCTGGGGCTTACCCTCAAGGAGTGCAGTGTTCAGCATGCACAGAGGATGACATGGTAACCAAGCTGTGAAAAGGTGAGTCAGCTACAGTTAGGTTCCTATGTGGGTGTTCCCTTCTAGCTGGGGTTGCATTATTACTCCCCGAATAAGCACAAGGCAGGGCACTTACCACCTGCTCTGTGAGCACTTCCTGCTCAAAACACACTCCTAACAGCAGGTCAGTGTTGAATCAGCCTGCTTTACATCTACCGGCTTGTTTGCATGTCAACCATCTACTCTTAGGTACCATCTCAAACACCAGAACACAGAGGCCTCAAGAGAGAATTTGTCCCAAGTCACACTGCCCAGAAGGGCCTGAGGATGAAAACCCAGGCTGTCTGATTGCAAAGCCTAAGATGCTTCTGGGGCCTCTCTGTTCTCATCTGTGATTAGAGGCAGGTCAGGCGAGCACAAAGCAGTGCGCCTCACACTGTTCTAAGCCAGAAAGACACTATTAAAATTATAGTGATCTGTCCAGATAGGTCCAGTCCCCTCCTCCCAGGCCGAGCCAAGCAATCCTGCATAGGCCCCAGGTTTCAAACATCCAACTCATGCAATGAGCACAGGACCCGGTCCCACTGCCTGGATGCCTCCCAAACAGATCAAGCCAATCAACTGTCTCACCCATTCAGAAGGCCTGATCCAGTGGGGACCCCTCAGCCTTGGTTCATAGTTTATGTGTTTCCATTCATTTGGCTATTTGTCCCTGTGCTTTATCCAACCTTGGTCTCAACAATTCTCGCTCATATAAACCCTCCTCATTCTCGCTAATTGGACTCGCAGAGATCCACCCAGGGCCTAGTCATGGATCTCTTGGAGGAGATGGGAATGGGGGGGGGGGGGCTGGGGGGAAGGTGAGGGGGACGGGAGGGGGGAGAACAAGGGAATCCGTGGCTGATATGTAGAACTGAATTGTATTGCAAAATAAAAAAAAAAAAAAAACAGAAAAAGAAAAAAAAAAAAGAATCCCAAAGACAACACACACACACAAAATTATATTGATCTGAACCAAAATGTGCTCCTGAATGGCACTGTCTGCTTAGAACATAACGATAGAGGATGGGTTAGAAATGGTTTTTAAAATTGTACATGTGTGTTTTTACAATGTAAATCTCCAGCTGGCCCCTTCCGTTTTGCTTTTAGTGCTGTTGAAAGGGCAGCATAGCTTGTTTAGATCTCCCAGGCACTGATGTAGGTTTTACTACTCTTTCCCCTTCTCTAACATGCCTTCTGTAGGGAACTTCTGCCACCCACCGAAGTTTAGTTCTCAGCTGATGAGGGGTTCATTATTTTTTTTCAAGTTAGTGCAGAAAAGAGGGAACAGAGCGGGTTCCTCCCAGATGCTGATTTCTAGTCAGCATGCTGCTTGAGTTCCCTGGTTGAACATATTTCAGCCATCCTGTGCCTAAGGAGAAAAACACCACTCCTGGCTCAGGTCGCTATGGTAACCGATGCTCAGCAGGCAGTTGCTGTTTCATTTAACATCACTGGCTTTAAGAACTTGAGGGGAAAGTATGCTTTCATATAAGAGAAAGGGGAAGCTGAGCAGTTTAATTAATGCATCTCAATCTAATGTAAGGAAACAGGTCACTTGCACTGTTTGACCATATCTCACCTAGTTCCTTTTTATGTCTGTATCAGATCTCAATCATCAAAGGACAGGATCTTTCTCTCATCATGTGTGAAGTGCACAAAATGGGCAGGAGAAGAGAAACAGGGGTTATGCCGGACCTTTTGCAAGGGATTTTTCACTTTATAAAGCCATCTCAGCTTGAGAGTATACAGAAGAATTGCTTTCTCTTCTCTCACCCACAAAGGAGGCCTGAGAGATGGGTTGCTAGGCAACCTCACACCGAAGTCTGGGGCGCTTTGAAATTAACATAGCTGACCTCCCCATCATCTCTGCAGCTATGCTATTCAAAACCATTTTATGAGTCTGTAGGACTCAAGAAAGTAGATATAAAATGTAAATACAAAATAAAGAATAGGGGAAATAAATCCTTTTCAAGTAAAGACCAAGATTTGCTCAATGAGCTAGGCAGCAGCCTGGAAGGATAGATTGAGGGGGAAAGTAGCGTTGACTGCTATAAATCAGACTCACATTTTTAGTAATATAGGAAGACAATATTTTCCTCGGTGTTCTTTTGGAGATATTTATAACTGCCACGTAGACCATCACAACAGAATCTGAAAATACTTAGGGTCCATGGAAAAATAAATCAGTTTCTAATAATGCCATTTCTCTGCACGTTTTTAACAAAGATGCTCACCTCTCATTCTTCACCACATGGTGAGTTGTTTGAAGCTCCGAGAGTCTCCTGTTCTCCTTTCTGCCACTACATCGTTAATATGACACTGTTGGCGTGGGAAGAGAAGCAACTCATTTTGTAAGGAGGGGAACATTTAGAAGGAAATGGCAAAGCTGCTCTACAGAGCACAGCAGACACTCTAATCTGCAAGGAATTCTTTGGTGTGACTTTTTAAATGCTTCATGCCACTAGGTATGGTTATGGGGACATTTTAAGATAGGTTGCATTTATCAAAGTTGGTCGTGTGTGTGCTGGGCAGGGAGGGCTGCAAACACATGGGCTTCAGTGGGTTTTGTGTTTGTTGTGGATGCTGGGATGAGGTAATTCTGAAACACATTTTAGTTGGCTTAATGAGAAATGAATGTGTTAGGATCCAGGGTTTCAGTATGAAGACTCATGTAAAAAATTCTGGAGGAAGCAAGCAGCTCTGTGGAATGATTTGAAATTGTTGGAATTAATGTGATTTTATGATTCCTAAAATATACATGTATACATGAAAAGAAGTACACCTATGTGATCCATGTATATTTGTATTTATGCATGTATACATGTTTACTAACTGCAGAAAGGGCACAATATTACACCCTAAGATCAAAGAACAGATTTTTGTATCCATATTTCAATTACTTTTACATTTGTTTGTTGTGTAAATGTGTGGGTACAAGGGTTCTTCTATGTGTGTGTGGAAAACGGAGGACAACCTGTAGGTGTCAGGTCTTTCCTTCCATCCTGTTGGTTCTAAGGTTCAAATTCCAGTCATCAGATTTGGCAGAAAATGCTTTCAACCTGCTGAGCTGGCTGTTTCTTCTCCTACCTCAGATTTTAATTTCAAATACCAACCCCAGTAAAGGGAATCATGTCTTTTCAGTTTGGTTGAAATGCCACAGAATGGAAATGATTGGATTCCAAGGCCTGGGCAGGATAATTAAAAAATGATCTAGGGGACCTCCTCACACTGCAAAGTAAGGAAGTACGTGCACACACACACACACACACACACACACACACACACACACACACACACATACACGAATGATGCAGTGTATCACAAGGACACAGGAATCATCTGAGGGGGCTTCAGCTGACCAAACCTGAAAAAACTTGAGCACCAGCATTATTAAAAACATTAACAAATTATGAAGGATTCCGAAAACCTGGTATTCATGAGTCTACAGGTTAAATCACAAATTTAAAATGGACATAATATTCTTAATATGGTAAACTGCTGATCACCGACTGCTGTACATTGGCAGAGAAAGGGGTGATGTCAGACTACTATCTTTTATGACCATTGCGAGGAAATGGGATCAGACAAGACTAACAACACAGGGAGGGGGGGTTGGAAGAAGAGCAGGATGTCCATGTGACCCCAAAGTGCCAATTTATAGATTTATAGTTGCAGGGAGAAATGAAGCTCTACATGGAGAACTCTGAGTAATCAAAGCTAATTCACCTGCCATGTGTGTTTGAGATGTGATTCTCTGAAGATAAAACATTCATGTTCTGTGATGGCCATGGATGCTTATGATCTCAAATGGAATTATCAGACAAACCCAAAATAAGAAGTATTATAGCACAAATGTTCAGGGGATGTGGTGGACTGTAGTTATCTAGACTATGCATGACATAAAAGATAGAGAAAGCTTGAAATTTAAAGATTTATTTATTTTATGTATGAGTGCTCTATTTGCACTTAAGACTTTATGCCAGGAGAGGGCATCAGATGTCACTACAGATGCTTTTGAGCCACCATGGGGGTGTTGGGAATTGAACTTAGGACCTCTGGATGAACAGTCAGTGCTCTTAACCACCGAGCCATCTCTCCAGGCCCCAAGTTTGAAGTTTAAACAAGGCTAAAAAGACAGAGCCTGACCAGAGAGTGGTTCTTAATCCAGGGAGTGGGGGAGGACCCTGTGGGTTCAATCAGCAGTAAGAGGTGAGACGGTATTGTAGCCATTCTGAATTTCCTACTGTTGATAATGGCAGGAAGTTGACTACATAGGCAACTATCTTCTTAGGGAAGAAATAATTCAGGGTAGAGGTGTGTGTACCTCGCATACTACTCAACCCATTCTCAGGATGCTCCGACAGAACAAGCCATGTTTGTTTATATATGGTTTGTGTAAATGTACATACAATTTGTGTTTACGCAGAGAGAGAAAATATTTGCGATACTTTAACAAGTATCTGGGTAAATATCTGTTGTGGTGCTGGGAGCCTCTGCTGTCTTCTCATCCATACAACTCTCTGTAAATATGAAGTTCTTTCCAAATGAAATGTTGATTAAAAAATTCGTATCTGTTTGTGGAAAAAGTAATTTATACTGGAATGCAAATGGATACTAAACATTTTAAGAAACATACAAAGGGCTGGAGTGATGGCTTAGTGAGTACTTACTAGTGAAGCCTGAGGACCTGAGTTCCATCCCCCAGAAGCCACATAAATAAACCGAGCCATGATGACATCACTCTTATAAGCCAGTCGTGGAGAAGACAAGACAGATGAATTTCTGGGGCTGGTCAGCCAGCTTAGCATGCTTGGCCAGTTCCAGGACAATGAGACACTCTGCTTAAAACAAGCAAATGTCAGAACATAAGAAGTGTGGATGGTTCCTAGGCATGAAAGCCAAAGTTTTTCTCTGGTCCCATGTGCCTGAATATACAAACAGACATGTACAAGTACACACATTCAACACCCATGTGCATACACACACACACACACACACACACACACACACACACGCACACGCACACGCACACGACAGAGAAATACACAAATAGCCAACACATCCAACAAGATTTATGTTTTGACTACAGGGAAATGACACCAGGATACAAGCCCATGTCCTATCTCTTGTGTGGCATGTGTTCACTCATTTTAATTTTGCATGTGCGTGTGTGTGTGTGTGTGTGTGTGTGTGTGTGTGTGTGTGTGTGTAGATTTTCTTCTACTCTGTGATTCTTGTGTCAAAATATCTTCTGCACTTTGTCATTTCAGTCTTGGTGAGAAACTAATAGAAATTTTCAATAAACACCGTTACCAGGCAAGGGTTTTCATTTATCGAATCTGTTGATTTCAGTGACCTCACTTTAACCGCCTGGGAAGAACACTTCTGCAGGTCAGTATTTTGGCAAACCACTTTTCCTGAGAGCAGGTAAGCTTAGTGATGAGAGCTGAATCTGAGTGGGCTGCTACTGACTGCACCAGAGCACCTGTCCTGCTGGAAGTGTTTTCTCAGGCTCTTACGTCACTTCCGGCATTAAAAATACAACTAGGCTGCCTTGGGCGGAAACGGAAGTAGTAATTACCTTCTTTAAATATCCTTGTTTTCTTAAAAACAGTTTAAGATTGTCAAAAGAATTTGTTTGAAGGAAGATAAAAATAACACACACCATCTGAAAGCAGGCTGGTTTGAGGACTGCCTTCTCATCTCAGGTTAGCCCCTCGGAAGGAAGCATTCAGAACCCCACTACTCAGCTTTCCTCACGTATGGGCTCAGATTGCATTCACGGGCACTGTGCCAGATTCACTGATGACCACTCTAAGGCAGATTGTAAAGTGAAGCATTCTTCTCAAAAAACATCTGGTTCTGGAGGAAAAGTATTAGGAGTTAAGTGACACATTTTTGCTCATAACTATGATTTATCAAGTCACACAGTGCCACACTCTCCCTGCTCCCAGCTCAAATCTGGCAGGCAGACTTTCAGCAGCCACAAACAGGAACGTGGAGGTAAGTGGGAAAATCTTCGAGTCCAAGCCAAACAGAGGCCAAGACACCAGTTTATGCAGGACAAGGGGCTGCCCTTTGGTCAAAGACTATTTTACTCATTATAAAACAGCGAAAGCCCATTAGCATAAGAGTTCCTCTGGCCACCTTTGCGTGCACCATCTCCTTTTGAACGCTTGTTTCTTCATTTTCTTCACAAAAATTGTCCAACTCTCAGACTCATTCTTCTAAAGTTCCTGCCCCCCACTGTTTTCCCACTTACATTTCAACATCTTTATTTCCTGTACCTTCAGTATTGACTGGCTTTCCCCATAAATATCTCAATATACCAAATACTTCTATTTTAAAAAGTAATCAGGCAAATCAAAACTTCTCCTACCTCCCTTTCTTTCCTCTGTCTCCTATTTAAATATTAGATATCTAAATATCTATCTATTCTGTCTCCTGATCCTTGCTTCCATTCTCAGGGTGTCACTAATCTCCAAGCAAGGTTTGCCCAAACTTGAAAAGGGGTCTCCTCCTCCTCACTCAAGGAGCCAGTGACATGTGAGATTATTTATGGCTCCTCCTCAGGATGCATCATATAGCCCGATGTCATGGCCTTGAATGACTTTAGATATTTCTTCCTCCAATTCATTAAATGTGGCAGGGTCATCACTAAAACTCCATTACTACCGCAAAGACCCAAGGTGAGAGAACGGACTTGCTCTCGGGTCTTTCTGGATTCCCAAAGATGTGCTCTGTGCCCCTTTGGGGGAGAAGTTCTTTGTGTGATCCTTCAGGGGCTCCCCTGTTCTGCCACTCTGCTGTTACTGCACCCAGTGCCGTTTTCTGGAAGTCTCCTTTCTATCCTCTCGCTCGGGATCGCTGGCAATCAAAGGAAATGAGGATATATTTTGTGGGAACAAATAGAAAAATTTGACTTAAGAACTGAATGCCACCTTTTTTCCCCTAATCATATTTGCCAAGAAAATAGCTTTGAACAGTGAAAAGGAAGTTTGCAAAGGTTGTCCTCTGAAAATTACATTTAAAATGTCCTATTTTTAGTGTAAATATATATATATATATATATATACATACATATATATGTATATATATTCAGTTTTGTGTGTATGTAGTGACCATTATATATGAGTCTGGTTTTATTTATTTTTTTGGCAAATGGGTATATAACTTCAACAATTATACTTTTCCAGCTTTTACAGTTTTGACAAATATCTTTGGATAACATTTACTGAGTGTTTGAATGTATTTAATGTCTACATAGCAATCTACCATTACATAAATGTGAATACATTTGACCAATTTTTTTTTTAATGGAGGACAATTTCAGTTCATTGACAGCAAAAAGAAAAAAGAAGAGTAATACTGCCTCCCTCCCACCCCCATCCTTGAGTATTCCCAATGGTGCCTCTCTGAACAGGACAGTTGGTCAGGGGACAGACTCTCACTTCTGCTGCCTTATCTACCGGCCACGCACAGGCACAGCACTTGCCTTGCCATGCATTATTTACCCAGAGTTCAATCAGCCCCAACGGTGCCACGTGAGTCTGTCTGAAATCACTCATCTTCTTTGGTCCCAAAGTAGCGTGTTTCGTTTCAGATTCTTGATTCTTACCTACGTGAACCCTAGTCCAAAGTTCAACCTCAATTCCTCCACCATTTGTGCAGGAAGGCCCTCCCAGGCTTGCTCTGGGTTGATTTTGGGGGAAGAAAGCTATTCCTCCAGGGTACCCCTACTTATCACACTAGACTTGTTAAAAGTCAAAGCACAGTAAACTTCCCAACATTTCCTTTTTCCTGAGGGCATGTATTGAGATCCAGGCTCCATGGAGCTTCTTCTACCTTTTGGAAATTGGACTCTTCTCCATCCTGAAGGCAGGCACAAACTTCTACTCAATGTACCACAGTTGTTTAAGTTGCAAATTGGAATGGTAACTGCCTAGTCTGAGCTCTAAATTTCACCTCCCTGTGATTTAGAGATGTCACAGAAAGTCAACTGTTAGTGAAGAAAAAAAAAAAAAAATCTAGGGCAGTCAATGCTGAAGAGTTTAGCTAGGGCAGCAGGAGCCCGAATGGTGGGGTGGTTGCATTAAATGGAGCCTCGATATGGCAATGGCTTTTCTAAAGTGATAACAATAATGAAAGTAGACCACCCAAGGGACTGCAAACCCCAACGCCCACCCTCAGGGGCACTTCCTCCAGCAGGGCTGTACTCCTAAAGGGTTCCTAATGTTCACAAACAGCACTAGCAACCGGGGGAAAAGGTGGACAAATACATGAGTCTGGGGTGGGGATATTTCTCATTCAAGTCACCACATGCACACGCTCAGTCTTTGTTAAGGAAAGAATAGGCAGAGTTTGGAAGTGGAGGGGGGCAGAATAGCCAATTAGGAGTCTCAGTACTGGGGAAGAATAATTCTCTCTCAGCAGTTGTTATCAGAGTTTTATGAAATGCTATAATTGCAATTTTGGTGAAGAATAATTAAAATTTCACAGCACATAATTGGTAGTAAAGGGACACTGAAGTCATGGAGATGTGATCCTCAAAGTAATCTAATTTAAAGACAAACACATTATTAAAATATTTTACTGCAAGTGAAAATAAAACCAAGGACTATTATATTTCTAAAGAATTTAAAAAGATGTAGATGAGACACTGAAAAGAACGCTAAGGACCGAGCTGGTTAAGATTAGGGTGTTTTGGTGTAAAAAAGCTGAGGCTGGCTATGGAAGAGAGCTGTCGCCCGGGCAGCTGCCCTCCCGGTCTGTGCTCTGTGAGTCTCTGAGGACCGAAAGTAGCTTTCAGCCTTCCTCACCAGGCCAGTGTCTGGGATACATTAGGTACATTAGACTCACTTCTGTGGCTTCTGCTTAAAAACTGCTGTAAGGGCTTACCCATTTAGACAGGTTTCAGAAGATCGTCATCTAAGATCACACGAGCTTCGAGAGTAGGAAGTACGAACAGAACAAAGGAGGCAAAACCCACTTTTATAGTGTCCCAGGAAAGGGTTTTCTAAGAAATGCCATTCCTTCAATATTCTTACGTCACACTGCAGAGTACCCTGTGAGATTACCTTTATTTTGCAAAACAACATATCTTTAGAGTTCTGAGAAAAATGTCAACCAGATATTCACAAAATCTTTATTAAAATATCCATTTAAAATACTTATTCTTTTTTCATAAATTACATGAGATTATATCACAAACTATAATAAAAAATTTAACAGGTAACCGGAGACTTTAAATAGGTTTGTTGAAAATCTATACTCTTTAGAAAAGATATATCATGTAGACTTTAACAAAAATATCCTCTGTAGACATGAACTAGCCTTTTTCACAGAACTACGTCATTTGCGCCTAATGGAAGAGAGCAAGGCCAGCTCTCACCAGCCCCTCCACCAGCCAACACCACAGACACAGTGTTTGTCCATGGACAGCAGCATCCTCTGCTGGAGAAGAGGAGACATGCTTCTGTGACACAGTGTCAGCTGAAGCTGTGCGTACTGCAAAGGCTGTTGGACCCTGCCGTCTCCTGCTCAACAGTTTAAAGAAATAACGAACACAATCATTTTCAAGGTCTTAATGATGCACGGGCCTTATCAAGAATATCCTTTCTGATTTTGGGGTAACCTGGATGTGCTTCAAGAACCTGGGGAAAGAAAGTCAAAATAACTTGTAATGAACTGTTGAGAACGAGGGAAATTTGACTCTTACTATAAATGGGCATTTCGGCCAAGCGTCCACCGTATTAACACTGTAACTGTAACAGTTTGCAAAGGTAATCATAGCTGTAAAGTGGTGACTCACAGATGAGCAAATAAGAGCATCAGAACATGGAACCACATATGGAAACATCCCATACACACTTCCTAAACAGATGATTTAGAGGGCAACTTATAATACTTCTGTAACTTAGCTACTTGTGATGTCTAATAAACCCTGGGAGAGTGATATTAGCAGGGAGCATACATCAGATTTTCCTGAACTGATTTTGGAACATTCAGATTCCCGGGAATACTATGTCTAAGAGTGAGGAGCTATTCATTTAAAAAGATAGAACTCCACAAGCGATTCTAATGCACAGTCTGGCTTTAGTGTCCATTTTTACCCTTAGTGAGATTCTAAAGCATGGCCTTACTGTGGTGTCCACAGATACCTTGGTGAGAAACACTGCCTTATAGGAGTCGGCAGTCAACAGCATCTCCTAGCCAGATGTTTACTACAACAATGATGGAACATAACTATCTGATGTTAAGGGACATAAGAAAACTATAAGGACTTTATTCTGAACTGCCACCTTGCATGGAGGACCACTGGGACATGGCAGGTACAAAGGAGCTGTGGAAATTCTAAACCTGGGAAGAGCTTAAATATGTTATTTTAATTGTGGGATTTTAATGGAATAAAATGCAGAAGTATTTTCTAAATTAAGGAATATTTTTTATCTGTAATTTATAAATCAAAATTCTCTAATAAATAGATTTAAATAAATTCACAAAAAGTTCCACTTAAAATAATGACCTGGGAAACCAATACTATTTTCAAATGTGCGCCTGGTACCTGCAGAGGCCAGAAAAGGATGGTGGAGTCCCTGGAACTGGAGTTAGAGATGGTTGAGAGCTGTACATAGTGCTGGCAACCAAGCTCTGGTCCTCTGCATGAGCAGCAAATGTTCCCTAACTGCTGAGTCATCTCTGCAGGCCTTCAAATCCTTCCAAACTGGGTTTTGTTTAACATGTTTTCCCTGCTAGCCTATGTCTTTAAATTGACACAAACACTTTACTATTGTAACTCCAATTATAAACACATCCTTCTTTTAAATAAATTTATTTTCTAAATTTTGAACTGAACACTGATAATTTCTCCACAATTTAATTAATAAACTAGCTACAGGACTGCATCTTCTCTTTCTTTCTATTCAATGACATTTTGAGAGTAAAAGAAAATTGTCCATCTGTACTTTGAGTTATGAGCCTTAGCCTTGAAGAGCTGAGCCACCTCTCCAGCCTCCCCCTGTACTATTTAAAGAAATTGTAATTTAAGCATTTACCTGGTGACATATGTCAATTGCATCCACATATCGTTTTGCTTTTAAGTAATTAAATGCCAATTTGTATCCTGTTAAGACAAAAAAAAAAGTGATACAGTGGTATGTGTTTTTTTCTTCCTCTGTTGTTGACTTATTAGGGAAGCCCTAAGGGAGGCTATTGGCCAAACTAGCACAGAGAAAAGTGACATGCTATTATAAAGCAAAGTGAAATTAAGAAGAGCAAGCAGAAAAGAACAAAATTGGAAAAAAAACTGCAGTGAATAGCTGTTGGGAGAGACATTCCACAATGTGGTTTCTTTAACTTACTAAAAAGGTCTCATTGACTTCAGGTTACAGTAAAAACTCATCACAAGGCAGTAAAACACAACATACCCACTGATTTATACAGTATAGGTTCACTTACTACTTATTAGGGAAACTGATTCCTGTAGTCAACTTTCTATTAGGAGAGGAAGTACCTTATTTAAGCAATTGCATGAGTAAATAAATAATTTTAAACAGAGATAAATTCCATGAGAGAAAGATCCAAGTCAAGACCCAATCCAAGAAAGCCATAGCAGGAACCTAAACCACAGGAAGAGGATGTTGGGGTGTTTGAAATGAAAGGATAAGGCCTAAGCTGACCTAGCCTGGGAATCAAAAACACTTTCTCTTCAGGTTGGGGTGGGAGGTGGGATGACTGCATATGTTAAGATCAGTGGTAAGACACGTAGGAAACCAAACCACTTCAGAGTCCTTGCTTAGAAGACAGCAAATCAGAGAGCAACACAGGTGGGTAGATTAGTCATCAGATGTCTAATTAATGAACAGCAAGTCTTGTCACAATCATGCATACAGAAATGCCACTCTTCTAGTGTTGTCAATTAGAAGTTTTAAGACACTCACAATGACTATTGCTCTCCTACAAGACTATTCCAAGAACAAGAAAACTAAGATTACAATCTTTCCACTTCCTCTTTCACAATGATCCCCAAGTCTTGGGAGGAGAGGGTGCAGCACAGATGCCCCATTTGGAGCTGAGCATTTCCCATGCTCTTATTATCTGCACCTTGGTCATTTGTGAGTTTTTGTGTTAATCACCATCGACTGCAAGTAGAAACTTATCTGATGAGAGTTCAGAAGTGCATTAATCTATGGGGAGAGCAATAAGTCATTCATTAGGAGTCAGTTTAACACTCTGTCCATTTAGCAAAATAATTCTAATAGGTTGTCCTTTAGGGCCTATGACATGCTAACCACAGATTCTTGGCCCAACCATGGGGCCAAGTATGGGTTTCATCTTATGGAACAGGAATTAAATCCAATTAGAAAATGGTGGTTACTCCCATGACATTGTGCCACTATTGCATCAATGGATATGTCTTGCTGGAAAGTCATTATTGTACCTCACAGGCTTCACATCTGGGTAAAAATAGCATCTTGCTATTCTTTTTGGCTCCTATTTTTAAAAATGAGAAAGAAAGCAGTGTTGCCAACGGGTGTTCCAACTTAATATTGAGGTATAAATTGCATGCAGTAAGACTCACCCATTTTAAGGAGACAATTCAATGGCTTTTGAGAAAAGGTATATAAAAGCCACCACAATCAAACTACAGAATAATCTTATTACTGACATGTGGACCAATGGAATCTAATTGAAGACCCTGACATTAATCCTCACACCTATGAACATACAATTTTTGACAAAGAAGCCAAAAGTGTACAATGGAAAAAAAGAAAGCATCTTCAACAAATGGTGCTGGCATAACTGGATATCAACGTGTAGAAGGCTGCAAATAGATCCATATCTATCACTGTGCACAAAACTTAAGTCCAAGTGGATCAAAGACCTCAACATAAATCCACCTACTCTGAACCTGCTAGAAGAGAAAATAGGAAGTAGTTGAATGCATTGGCATAGGAGATCACTTCCTAAATAGAACACCAGTAGCACAGACACTGAGAGAAACAATCAATCAATGGGACCTCTTGAAACTGAGAAGCTTTTGTAGAGCAAAGGATACAGTCAACAAGGCTAAGCGACAGCCTACAGAATGGGAAAAGGTCTTTACCAACCCCACATCTGACAGAGGACTGATATCCAGAATATATAAGGAACTCAAGAAAGTAGACATCAAAATGCCCAACAGTCCAATTAAGAAATGGGCTATAGAACTAAACAGAGAATTCTCAACAGAGGAAACTCAAATGGCTGAAAGACATTTAAGGAATTGCTCAACATCCCTAATTATCAGGGAAATGCAAATCAAAACAACTCTGAGATACCACCTTATGCCTGTCATAATGGCTAAGATCAAAAACACTGAAGACACCTTATGCTGGAGAGGATGTGAAGCTAGGGGAACTCTCCTCCACTGCTGGTGGGAATGCAAGCTTGTACAACCACTTTGGAAATCAATATGGTGCTTTCTTAGAAAATTGGGAATCAATCTCCCCCAAGATCCAGCTATACCACTCTTGGGCATATACCCAAGGAATGCTCAATCATACCACAAAAGCACTTGCTCAGCTATGTTCATATCAGCATTGTTTGTAATAGCCCAAACCTGGAAACAACCTAGATGCCCTTCAACTGAAGAATGGATAAGTAAAATTTGGTACATATACACAATGGAATACTACTCAGCAGAGAAAAACAGTGACATCAATATCCTGTAATATTTAGGTGTCTATGAGACCACATTGGCTAGTAACTCCAAAAGAAAAAAAAACCTAGATGACAAATACAAGGAAACAAGTGTCCTCTGTATACAACAGAGCCACTGTACATATGAACTCACAGTGGTTATGATAGCATACACAAACCCTGTGGAAGCTCAAGCTGGACCAAATCACAAGATGGAGGGAAAGGCGCACACAAATCCTAACATTAATGAGGAGTCATTAGCAACTGATAGCTGCTAGGAGAGAGAGAGTCAGTTTTCTTTAAGAGTGTTGCCATTGGTAGGTTGACACACTTCAGTGGAAGGCTACACATTATGAATATGTGGGCAGCACAAATTAGACTTGATAGGTGAGAGAGAGAGAGAGAGAGAGAGAGAGAGAGAGAGAGAGAGAGAGAGAGAGAGAGAGAGAACACAAAGTTTGGTGGCTAGGGAAAGGAGGTAGACCTGGGAGAAGTTGGAGCCAGGGTGAATATAGTCAAAAATTACTGCTCAAAGAACTAATGAAAACTTAAAGAAGAGAAAGCTAAAAATAGGATAGCTATTTAACATTTGACTATTTCATGAAATATAATTAATATAAAATAATGGATAATTATTGACATTTAATTTTACATCTTACAAACAGGAATGGGAAAATGAAAACATTGCTCATGAGCTCTAATGATTGAACTGTGTTGTTGCTTCATCTCTGTTGCTGTGATAAAATACCATGACTAAAGCAACTTAAGAGAAGAAAGGGTTTATATGGCTTACAGTTCAGTTATAGTCCATCAGTTCAAGGAAAGCAAGGTAGAACTCACAGCTGGTCATATGCTGGTCATATCACATCCATACCCAAGAACAAAGAAAGAACAAATGCATCTTTGCTTACTTGCTCTCTGCTTCTTTTCCTCTTATTCCTCTCAGGGCATCCTGTCTAGAGAGTAGTCCTGCCCACATGGGCTGGGTTTTTCCATATAAAACTTTGAAGTGTGGAAGTGTGGGCTTCTGGTTTGCTGACTATAGTGATTTAAAAGAAAATGGTCCCCTAAAGGGAGTGGCACTATTAGGAGGTATGGCTTTGTTGGAGTAGTGTGTTCTTGTTGGAGGAAGTGTGTCACTGTGAGGGCTTTGATGTCTCCAATATACTCAAGCTATGCCCAGTGAGACATTTCACTTCCTGCTGCCTGCAAGATGTAGAATGCTCAGCTCCTTCTCCAGCACCATGTCTGCCTGCACGCTGCTATGTCCTGCCATGATGATACTGGACTAAACCTCTGAAACTGGAAGCCACCCAATTAAATGTTTTCCTTTATAAGAGTTGTTGTGGTCATTCTGTCTCTTCACAGCAATAGAACACTGACTAGATGGATGTTGACTAACTTTGGACTCATAGGCACATTGCCTGAGTTTTTGGTTTTTCAGTTTACTTAACTGTTAGGGAAATAATTCTTAACCTCTCATAGTAGTAAAATCATATATTTTTTTAATGTCTATAGGTGATGTGCACCACTTGTATGACTGGTTCCAGTGAAGGCCAGAGAGGAAGTCAGATCCCCTGGAACATGTGAGCCATCATGTCGGTGCTGGGGATAAAGCCTGGAACCTCTGGAAGTGCAGCCAGTGTTCCTAACTGCTAAGACTTCTCTCTCATCCCTCTTAGCAACAACCTTAATGATTAAATAGTAATCTTATTATGAAATGTTTTTAAAAACTTTGGAGTACCACAGAAATAATAGCAATTTTCCCGGAAAACAAACTCTATATGACTAAAATCATAACTTCAATGTTAGAAGTCAATAAGGTTATCTTGAACAAAAACAAAATGAGAAAGGAAATAAAGGGCTAGGAAGCACAAGGAACATGTGCAATACAGGCACACTACATCTCTCAAAAGTGTACACACTCAATTATAGGGCAAGCAGGAGAAAGAGAGTGAACCAGCAGTCTAGTGCAGGTGTGAGTGGATCCTCCCCTCACTGGCTCTCCGTTCTTAGTGTTCTTCTAGTTTAAAATGGTATTTCATTTTCAACGTGTTCTTGTGCACATTTATACAAGGTAGCCAACTATCTATACTCCATGTAGATTCTAAATACACGACTGGCATGTCTATTTTAGTGCCATTTGCAGAGACAGCACCCGGTTCTGAATTCGATGGAAACAGTATGTAACTTCAAGGGTTTTTTGACAAGTGAAAGGGAAATGCACTGTTAATTTGGCCAGTCAGATTGGAGTAGTGGATGTAGTGACAGTCTGAAAGGAGAAACTCAGTAACTGAAAGTGTCAGAGGGCCACCCATGGATGGAACACTGGGAGGGGCGCCAAGGTCATGTATAAACTACAATAATGGAAGGAAAAAGCTGGGGAGGTGGAGTCTCTGTTTTCTGAAGCTTTCCAAGGAACAGAGTATATAAATAAATTGGAAACATCTTACTCTGGAGGAATAAATTATCAAAATTATTTATATTTTATGGGTATTAAAAAAATTTCCACATTACAAGGTGACTCTATCTCCTATGATGTACAATACTAGGGGATGAAAATTTCTAAACAATCATTAGTTCCTGCACTTTGTCCAATCCAGTAATTTAACAGATCCTAAAGAAACACAAGTCAAGGCCAAGTTAAACAGATGGCATTGAGTGTAAGGAGGATTGTCTGACTGCAAGTCAAACATTGTAACACAGCTGTTAAAGACTGGTGCCATCTTAGGCTAAGTTAATAACTTGAAGTCACCTAATCTAATGCAAATATCAATGCCCTTATACTTAGAATGAGCCAAACCATATGTAGAAACACATTCACATGCAGTTACACAGATCAGAAGGGACATAGCAAATAAAGTAAATTTTCATGCTTTGTGGCCATAGAAACTCTTTCTCCATCTCTCTCTCTCTCTCTCTCAACTATGAAAATCCCACCAATGTTTTAAGGGAGAGTTGCTGTGGGATGATCTGTATGGCAAGTGTGTTGCTGATTGGTCAATAAATAAATCACTGATTGGCCAGTGGCTAGGCAGGAAGTATAGGTGGGACAAGGAGGAGAATAAAGCTGGGAAGTGGAAGGCTGAGTCAGAGAGACACTGCCAGCCGCCATGATGACAAACAGCATGTGAAGATGCCGGTAAGCCATGAGCCACGTGGCAAGGTATAGATTAATGGAAATGGATTAATTTAAGCTGTAAGAACAGTTAGCAAGAAGCCTGCCACGGCCATACAGTTTGTAACCAATATAAGTCTCTGTGTTTACTTGGTTGGGTCTGACGGCTGTGGGACTGGCAGGTGAGAGAGATTTGTCCTGAGTGTGGGCCAGGAAGGAAAACTCAAGAGTAGGTAAGTCTACTTAGGGGTTTCGAGGGACCATGTCAAACACGGAAAAGATGACAACCTTCTCAGGAAGAACAGAAAGTACCTGAGGGTCACCTCAGGAGGAAGTTCCCACGGAAGGGTCGTCCTCTGTAAGAGGGAAGGGAGCCAGATTGCATCACAGGACAGATCTGCACTGCTTCAGCGAATCAGATTCAGCTCAGTGGAAGGACCCCCATCGCCAGTGAGGTTAGTCATTGAGTGCACTACTGATATCACCCGACTGTTCAGACACTGTGGACTAACATTCTTCAAGCAAGAGTCTACAGACACAACTAATGATATTCCAGATGCTCATAGAAATGTAGCCCTTTATAAACACCCCCACACTGTACTTGAATGTTAAAAGGCTTTAGAAGATCAACAGTAAAAAGATGTAATGTAACATGTGTATAATTTATTTGACAATGGGACACTTTTTGTCCACCACATTACCATCTTCCAAATAGTAGAGTGAAGAGAGAGGAAAAAAAAAAAAAGGCACGATTAGTCTAGATGAAAGTGACCAAAGACAAGCTGGGACTTCAGGAAATTATACTTAACTATTTATAGGTAATAACTCATCATGAAAATAAAACATTGACAATGGAATTTGGTTATATTTATATATATAATATATATTGTCCTAAAAATGAATTTCAAAGAAGATTTACAAATGATATACCATTTCTTGTGAACACCCTGGGCCCAGTTTGCTGAACTCACCCACTGCTGGATTTGTCTGGTTACTGTGTTTCCACGCCATCTCATAGTTGAAGGCCGCATCTGTATATGCTTGCTCTTTCTCCATAATGTATCCCATATATTCATAAGCTTTGCAACAAGACTGAGGGGAAAATGGAAGACATGAACAGATTAATCTCAATATCAATAAAATTTTATGGGATGTGTATGCACACCAGTCATATTAACCCATCTAAATGGTGTATAAAGGGATGGTTTTGAAACTTGAATATATCACCAAAGTATGTACAGGACACAGTGAATAACTGATACGAAGAGCCAGTGCAAATCTTTCAGAAGCAGAATTTCTTTTTACAGAAATACATATAATGGTATGTGGATTTTACTCATATACAAGCACCCAGTTTATTGTGAATAATTTAAACACATATATGGACTTAATATGGGTATATAACTTTCCTTCAAAAGTTAACTACTAATTCAGCTCCTTCTCCACACTTACACTTCCATATAACCAAGAAAAACATCCTCAGATGCTATATAATTTTAATCATATAAATGCTAGGATGCTTCTCTAAAAGATAAAGACCTCCTTAAATACCACCCAAACTCATGGCACACAGAATGTACCAACTTCTAAATCACCCATATATTCAGACACTAGTCATATTTCAAGTTGTTGAAACATAATTTAAGTTTTAAAAAGTTTGTTAGATGGAGAATCCAATCCATGTCCCAGATTGTGAGTGGTTTGAAATAGCTCATCTGTTTTGATCTAGAGAATTTCTCTTCTGTCTCTTTTATCTTAACCAAAAGTAGCATAAAGAATCTTTACAGTAGCATTTATCTCCATACAGGTTTAGTTGACTGCATCTTTGTAGTATTTCTATAATACAGTCCGATATCACTAATAATTCCTGCCTTTTACAGTGGTTCTCAACCTGCCTAATGCTGCGACCCTTTAATACAGTTCCTCATGCTGTAGTGACCCCCAACTATAAAATTATTTCATTGCTACTTCATAACTGTAATTTTGCTACTGATATCAATCATAATGTAAATATCTGATATGTAGCATATCTGATATGTGACCCTCAAAGGGGTCATAACCCACAGGTTGAGAATTGCTGTTTTAGAGGCTCAATCTGAATATTTCCTTTTTATGCTAACAGAATTTGCTATAACATTTTCCCCTATTCTAAGACATTTCATTATATTTTCACTAAAACCATTTCCCGTTAAAACACAGATCAAATATGAACCTGGGAAAGCCCCCTTTACCACTCAGATGTCCTAGAGCTCAGCAGACAGTCTTAATGTTTCAGTATTACTTTTTTTCATTTCACTTGATTGAAAATATAGTAAGTACACTGTTGTATTTATCTTAATTACTGTGTGTTCTGTCTCATCCCAGCGCCATCTCTGTCACGCACATTTTCTTCTTCCAATGACAAAGCACAGGATGTTTGATTTTCTCCCTTTTTGTAATAGTCTGTCCATTCATAAACTCATCAATGTTGAAAAAACAGTGATACTTATTGCTTAGTTATTTCTTGGAAAAAAATCTCTACATCAAGATGCCTTACTGAAGACTGACTACTTAACAGCACAGTTTATACAGAAACCCCAGGACATGTGCTGAATTCTTCCCTATCGTCTGACAGAAGAAGCCAGTCTATTCGCAGACTGCAGTGTTGACTAATTCTATTTCCCCTTTTGTCTTTTTAAGTAGTCATGGGTTTAACATATTGGATGTATTTTAATCTATTGCAGTTCTCATTCCCTTTGGTACTTGGTGTCCCAACGCTGGCTGTTGGCCTGTCTTCAGTGTGGCTCCCGAGCGCCTGGCATGACTCTCACTGTCTTTGATAGCTTTCCTGCCATCTGCAATGGCAAGATGCTCTAGTGTTGTCTTATGCGTTCTTCGTCCAAATATCAGTGATTTTCATTTTAAAATTATATAACTCAAGGTTCCTAAGCTTTGATTCCTGAGCCTCATGGCTTTGAAATAGACATGCTAAACCAACAGGGCTGAATGTTCCGAAGGACCAATCAAGTTTAATCACACAAGGTGTTGCTGTCTGGTCAGTGTTGACAACAGATGGGATCTATCTGTGTCAAAGATTTAATTTCTAGTCAATGTTGCTTAATCTCAGACCAGGCATATAGTGTTCAACTACACAGTAGTTTAGATTTTTAAAGATGAATGAGCATTTTGTTTTCAAGGTCAATTTAAGTGAAATTTGATGAAACTGGTCATTTAAGGCAGTCTACCCATTGATAAAGGACTGGTGCATTGTAGGCTTTTAATTCCTAAGAAATTATCTTAATACTACTAGGTAATTATAAGTTCTCTTTTAAAAAGCAAATGAGCCATCTTATAGTCTAATTTGCTTATAGAGAATAAAAAAACAGATTTACTGTGATTAACACTTTTAGCTAATTGGTATGAGTCTGTGAATATAAACAGCCTCAACTTTCTAAGTCAAATACAATTATTTCTCAGCAAGTACTAATTCATATCTGAACTTTAAAAAATGTTCATAATAAGACATCTTCTTTATGTCTGTACAACAAAATGTAAGCAAAAAGGGCTTACAGTGTACAGACTTGAAGATCTTCCATTTTATACCTAAAGAACTTGCATTAAATTGAATTGGAAGCCTCTCTCTATATTATGCATAGTGGGTTCTAATAATGTGGAAATGACATGCAGCTGCAGTAAGTTCATCAAAAACACTTCTTAAAGGGAGGGACAGATGGCCACAATTAATACTCTGCAATTTTCATTAGTTCTGGGATGAGATGGGTAATCATGGCGAATGCTTGACATTCCAAAAGTACTTCTTGTAAGTAGGGCATCACCAGCTGAAACTTGAAGCTGCATAAATCTATCTTCCCATTACCTTCAAGGGAGCACAGCTTCTTTCTTTATCATAATGTTCATTTCCTGATTACAGTAAGAATAAAGATTTAAGGTTCAAGGCACACTGGGGAAACATCAGAAACTGACCCATTGCTCTACTACAGGACGTCTACGTAACACAGTTAACTGGTTGGTTCTCAGTCACCTACACGGTTATGGCACAGGCAGCGCTTTAGTAATTCTTCTGCCATGTCATATTTTGCTGACTGAATATAAATATCAGCAAGCAGCAGCCAGCTCTTCTCCAGGTCCTCGGCTTCAATAGGATTCCAAGTCATTTTTGCAATCCGCTTCAGCTGGTTTCTGGCTTTCGGCGTCTGTTTCAAGATCATATAAGCTGTTGCCATTCCCAAGAGAGCTGGAATATGATCCTTCTGTAAGAAAATTGAACTTTAGACCACAAGATGCACTGCATGGGAAGCAGCAAACACCAGCTAAGAAGTCACCTGTGCCTCTGTCTGGCTGCGTGCAGGGAAAGTGACCATCACTGTTTAACACGGTGGGGAATCCCAAGCAATCCCCTATGAGGAATTAGTGAACATGTGGCCCAAATGAACCGACAAACTATGCAGATGCTGAAGCCCAATACCAGCAGCAAGTGCAGCTTCATGTCTAATGGGACTGACTGGCGGATGTGGTTTTGTACAGAAGTAGAAAGAATGAAATCTGAATTCACTGTAATGAAGTTAAAGTTTTGCCTCCTTGGTTCTTTTTACCTCCAAATGGTGAATCTTACTGCTATTTCCCCTCTTTTATTAACAAAAATAACAATAAAACCCTTTTCCCCAGTGAACTCTAGCCAATGAAATGCCATAAATAAGGTGTGCCCTAAATCATTTGCCCAGCCCATGGAATACTCATGGTTTGAAGTAGATTTCTAGATGTAGAGCCGGCAGTCTCTAGATAGCATCTGAAAAGCACAATGTTCATTTAGATAAAGTCCCAAAACGTCAGTTTTCTGTAAAGCCGAGAGGCTAATAGGAACTGGCATACAACAGGGGCCCTTAGAATCTACCCAGAAAATGGACATAAGCAACAGGGTGCAAATCCCTGACTGAGCTCAGCAGAAGGATTATGATACTTTCAGGAGGAGGGCCCAGTTTAAAGTTAGGAGAGCTGAGATGTGATATGAAATTGCAATGTTGTGGCTGTATCAAAGGCTGTCTGTAAGATTGCATTTGGGCAACTAATAGCAAATGTCCGAAAAGGATCATGAAATGATCATCTGTTTATGCCCAAGGTTGATCTTGGTTGAAGTCAGAAAAGAGAAAGGGAATGTATTAGGGCCTGATGGAAACAGAAGGGATACAGTACTTTCTTGGCTCTAATTTTCTTTTCTTTCTTATTATTTTTGTTTATTTGTCTTTGTTTTTTCAGACAAGGTCTCTCTCCATAGCCCTGGCTGTCCTGAAACTCACTATGTAGACCAGGCTGGCCTCCAACTCACAGAGATCCACCTGCCTCTGCCTCCCTAGAGCTGGGATTAAAGGTGTGTGCCAACACACCCAGCCTCTAATTTTATTTTCAAAATGTAGTAGTTTTTGAAGAGACTGTTAATAAATTATGAAACCTTACCTTACTCATCTTAGATGGACAGAGGATGGCAGATAATGGTGGCCTATCATGTATTTGTCAACTGGTCCTAAAGGACCTAAGAAGAGACTAGTCCTGCATCCATTCACATGAACAAAAATGTCCATGCAGTACAGATTTAAAAGAAGTCTTTCATTTTATAGCCTTCAGTCTGATTAGAATGGATCAGCTCTTCACTGCTTCATCATTGCTATGTGAAGTGTGTGTGTGTGTGTGTGTGTGTGTGTGTGTGTGTGTGTGTGTGTGTATGTGTGTACATGTCCTGATGCCAGGTATCTTTCTCAGTCACTTTCCAAATCTTATTTTCTGAGTCAGGGTCACAAACTGAACATGGGGCTCAATGATTTGGCTATGGCTGTCTAGTCAGTAACTCCAGGGATCCGCCTGCCTCAGACTCCCAAGCACCAGGAGTATAGGGGCACTTCTACTTCTGACTCTTTATGTGGGTATTGGGGAATCTGAGCCCATGCTTGATTGGCAAACACTTTACCAATAGAGCCATGCCCCCAATCTCCATAAACTAAGACTTTCTGAAACAGAAAACCGAGTTCGAATCTCAGCACTAGACCTGAATCAGGCCTTCTTATGACCGAAGCTGTGGACCTAGCACTTCCCTGGTCCAACTTATGAAGCACAATTCCTTTACTCTCAGCCGCCACAGAGGACAAAACTCAGCTGTGGCCTAGAGAGTGCCAACATAATCTCTACACATGGTTCAGGTGGGCCCATGAAAGCACGTGGGAGAGTGCAGCTTGGGCTAGTGCACCAGGCTCCTCTTCCTCCATGACTTCCTGTCACATTCCTTTGAGACACAGTGTTTTGATGAGACGCCATGTTTCTCTGCCTTTGTTCATATTTTCCCTTCACTCAGAAGACACTTTCCCCACCTCTACCTATAAAAATGCAAACTGCCTTAGATCTTGAATCACAGTTCTTTCTAGAATCACAGCTTCTTACAAGAGTCTCCCGACTCTCCTTAACCCACCACCTATGTACTTTCATTGGCAACTACGGTGGAGAAGAGAAAGCATTTTCTTTGATTCAGATAACCATTATATCCAGTACGCTGAGCTCATTTTTTTTTCTGAACATTATGAGAAATTTGAAAACAAGAAGGATACGTTATTTATTCTTATGATTTCCACTATGCCAAATACTTACTGACTGCTTAATGAATATTCATTGTACTGAATATATTGTCTATGAGTTAAATGAAAAAATGCAACACAAACACCGTGTTGCTGAATTTTAGTTCACCCATCATCATCTCTTGGCTGATCCAGTTAGCAAACAGATTTGTAGGCAGTACCTGGGTAGCATAGACAAGCATGCTAAAAACCACACAATCTCATCTCCACAGAAAACCTTGCTTAGTCTCACTACAAAAGAGTTGTAATGCCATCCGGCTTTTATTTCTTTTAAACTTTACAGTAGGGATGATGGATTTACTCAATATAAACTCATTACTATGTGATAGGATACCACCTCACAGCAGTTGGTGGCTGTGACACCTAACTGTAAATTGTACCTTTAAAAATTCTTTTAGATTTGCATGAACATTCCATTTCCCATTTTTCAGTAGCTGACATCCATCTGTTACAGAATGCCAATTCGGGGAAGCCTGTTCTTTTCTTATCTTTTAAAAAACACATCACAGAAACAACATATTGATTGAATCTATATTTCTTTATAAAAAGTATGCAAGATGACACAGTGAATATACTGCTGACCTTGAAGTCAGACTGCTCATCTTTAAAATGGGAACAATAATCATAACAGCCTCTCAAGAGTCATGTTCTGAAAATTAGGCTGTACTTTAGGTCTTATAAAGTCTACACAATATATGAGTGTTATACCTTCCAAAATTATGATCTGAGCTATAATACAGAAGCCAACTAAAGAACCCTTGTTACTTACTTTGCCTTCACTGATGCCCTTATGTTAACAAAGGATGGCTCTCCTTTATTGAGTGAGACATTTAACATCACATTATAGGAGTTTTTTGGACTATTTTCATTTTTGTAATTTATTTTTTCATGAGAAAATCTACACAAACCAGCATGTTTCTAGAGCTGAAAACCTAACTTAGTTTATGTAATAGACTTAGATAATCATTCTAAAATAATCATGACCATCAGCACTTTATTTAAGGGAATGTTCACAAATGTCTTTTCCTGGGTTTTGAGCCAGGCCTGACATTAACAATATCACATTGTCATTCAAAGAAGGAAATTGAAGCAATCCTAAGAGGCATATGTGGTGGTCTGAATAAAAATGGCCGCCATAGGCTCATAGGGAAGGAAGTGTCACTTGGGGGTGGGCTTTGATGTTTCAGATGCTGAAGCCAGGCCTGGTGTCTCTCTTTCTTCCTGCTGCTACCTGCCAATCCAGATATAGAACTCTCAGCTACCTCTCCAGCACCATGTCTGCCTGCATGTTGCCATGTTTTCTGCCATGACCAAAATGAACTAAATAAACCTTTAAAACTATAAGCCAGCCCCAACTAAATGTTTTCCTTATTAAAAGTTGCCATGGTCATGGTGTCCTTTCACAGCAATAGAAACTCTAACTAAGACAGCTTATTTGTCTTTGTTCCCTATTCCATCCCGCAGGGCATGGGGCAATACTTTTGAGAACATCATCTTAGAATTTGCAGAAGGGCTCTGCTCTGTGTGGTGCTGAGGCTGAGGTGAACTTGCTGTTTGGTCTCGTGGTGGTTTAGAGTAAAAATGAAGCTGCCATCTAAAGCAAGTCTACACAAATCCATGACATTTTATTCTTCCTCGGAGTCCTAGAAAGTGGGCAATGGGGCCACAGTAAGAGGGTTTTGGTAGCCTGTCTACCACTGTGACCTCTAAGCCAAACAAAATAGAAAAACTTTTGATATCCTCTGAGAGGCACACAGATAACTGTGAGTTTTCAGTGGCAGAAGAGAAAAAAGATCAGTGACGGTGGTTAGAAATAGGTATTCCTAACTGTGACTATCCCTTCCTTAGTAGTATTGTGCATGGGACGAGAAAGGCCTAACTAAACACAGGGAGTGGCAGAGACTAGATTTGAGTGGAGCAGGAAAAGAAAGAGGAAATAACCACAATCAGAAATATGCCAGGAGGTCATTTCAGTGTTGCTAAAGAAAAACTGTTTTTTGCATAACTGAATTACACCTTGTCAGTACTGATCCCATTTAGTCCTTCAGCTGGAGAAATTCCAAGTACACCCAAGTGAGAAGGTGAACCAGCCAGGCAACATTCATTTTCACTTAGTAACTTAGACTCAGCCAGAGCTACAGCATGAAAATCCTCCAGAACACAAATTCTTCTCTTTAGAATTATCCTTTGCTCTCATGAAGAATTTCCTTTCTGTGGAATTAATTCCATGTTTCCCCAGAGACTAACACAAAATAATGATGGTACACAATGTAAGATTATACAAAAGCATGTATCTAAACTTTATTAAGTGTGCTATTAGGCCATGTTCAGAAGATCATCAGCTATCCAAACAGCATGTTGTCTTACCAAGCAAAGTTAGACAAAGCCGAGAAGGCAAGCCACTGACCTCAGAGGCTGCTATTTCAGTGAAGGTGTTCAGCGCCTGCTCCACGCTGGACTTCTGTTTGGTGGCCATCAGGCAGCAGTTCTCCAGAATGCGGAGCTGCAAGCGGCCCTGGATGGTCTGAGGCTTCAGTTCTTTCAGCAGCTTTTCCGCCGTCCTCACAGCTAACTGCACAGATTCCTGCTTCTCAGTTGAACTGCTGTGGACACAAAGAATAAATCACAATTGTCTGTTACTCATGACTTCAAATCGACTGATATTAGAATTCAGGGCATTGGCTCCTCTTTATCATTCATTTAAAGAATTCTTGGTGAAGACCATTCATTTCATTTTCTTCTAATACCAATAGATGAAGTATAAATGAATTTTAACCAAAATTAATATGTCCTTAGTGAAACACCATTAAACCCTGAATCACTCTAGAATGAAAATTAGACAATATCTATATAGGGTAAACATGTCAATTTTAGGTGATATATAATTGGAATAAACACAGAATCTTCCTAGGCTAGTATAGCTGAGGTCCTGGGGTCAGTCGCTAGCTCCACAAAAAAGAAAAGAAAAGTTCTAGGTAGAATCATAATATTGTCCAATGGTGTGTTCCACATGTAGTATATACTCAGAAGGAACAAGAGAGGAGAAAAGGTAGGAAAAGGGTCAAATGCCATATGATTTCATTCAGCACATGTTCCTTCAGCACACGTTCAATCAGTACATGCTCATTCAACACATGCTGAATGTATCTATTTGGGGAAATTGAGACTCAGGAAGCAGAACACTTTCTCAAAGATCACAAATGGTATGATTTCCATCTGAGTCTAAGTCTATCAAACATATAAAAATCTCTCTTTTCTTCACCTTGTTACCTATCAGACTCCTGGGAAGGAAATTTTATGTGATACAAGGTAGCAAATTTTAGGCACAGTAACAATTCAAATACTTGTTAGCAAATTCCCTACACACACACACACACACACACACACACACACACACACACACACACATACTCCTGCATCAGTAAAACCACTCACCTTTCCTTAACCTTAAAGTTTTAGAGAACTATTTCTTTTAATGTATATGTGGTGTGCAGTGTGTGTGTGTGTGTGTGTGTGTGTCTGTGTGTGTCTGTGTGTGTCTGTGCATATAAGTACAGGCCAGAGGCAACAGATGCCCCATGGAGTTGGAGTTATAGGTAGTTGTGAGGCAAGCCACATGGGTGCTAAGAACCAAACTCGGGTCCTCTGGAAGGGCAATACATGCTCTGAACTGCTGGGTCATCTCTCCGGCACAGGCCCTAATGATTTCAGTATTACTGAGAACATTTCCTGCTCATACTATCTTCTCTGCAGTTCCTAGCCTCTGGCTTCCACAGCTGTATGATTTGGTTTCCATTTTTGACCTTGAGACTGCTAGCCTTAGCACCCCAAATCTGTTTCCTGTGGCTACAGATAACAACTTACAAAAGGGCCCTTCACACAGCTACCACCCTCGAGGTGTCCCTTAAATCTGTATGAGCACTAGCAACTCCTCTTCCAAGTTCTAGTTTGTATTTCGGCTGTTTAATTGAGGATCTGCACTTGGGTACCCACAGGTCTAGAACAGTATATTTATTATCTTAACTTTCCTAAAACCAACAGGCCATTTCTCTACTTTTAAGGTTCACTGATCTCTCTAACCCAATCTTGAGATTTGTCCTTTCTTGCTCTAACACCCCTCCATTCCTCCATGCACCTTCCCCTGACAGCTATGCACTGCATGACTCTATGTCCTTCGGCAGCCCTGAACATCAGCTTCCTTTCAGGTCACCATCTGTGGTGTGGGCAATTGAATGGCCTCAGATATGGTCTTGCAGTCAAAATGGACTACATGCCAATGAAAGGCAGCCACGACCTGTTATACACCCTTTATACCTTTAACCATCCCCACTCCTTCTGAGAGAGGAACAATAGACACAGCTTGAGGCGATGCCACCATGCTCCAGGAGCAATCCAGGGTGAACACTGCACTGCAGAGCTGTGGGGGTGGGCTAGCACTCAGCCCGAGCCTTGTTCTATCTTTTCTGGCCATTGCCTCAGATAAGGGATTCTGAGCTTGTTTCACAATGCTGCTGCAGGATACCAGTGAGATAATGCATAGAAAGAACAGAGCACAGGGCTGGCATAAAGCTACCATGTGTTACGTAGGAAGTATGATCTGCTTTGTTTTGATTTTGCAGTGTGTGTATGGTGTGCATGTGTGTATGTGTTCATGTTGCATGTTGTTCACGTGGAAGCCTGAGGTTGACATCAGGAATGTTCTTCAATCACTCTCTACTATATTTATTAAAGGTAGGGTGTCTCAACAGAGCCCAGAGTTTGCCTATACAGCCAATCTAGTCAGCCAGCTTCCTCTGTAGATCCTCTGCCTCTGACTAGCGAGTGACTGAAATACAGGCCAGCCACCAAACCCACTGAGCATTTATGTGGGGTCTGGAGATTTGAACTCAGGTCCTCATACTCGTACAGCAAACACTTTAACACTAAGACATCTCCCCAATGCCAGTCAGTACTATTATTATGTGGACTATGTTTATTATGGTTGTCAAATTCTGTAATTTATTTTATTTTTGACAGAGTAATTAGGGGAATGCCTTTGTAATCCATCTATTATGATTTAGGAAATGGAAGGTATTTCATGCCTAATTGTTTTACCTTTTTATTATTGTGATAAAACACCATGACCAGAGCAACTTATAAAATAAATTGTCTAATTTGACTAAATCAGAGTGTTGTTAAGAGTCCATGATAGCACAGCAAAGGAAAGCTGAAAGCTCACATCTTGACTCACAAACAGAAGGCAGAGAGAGCACTGGGAATCTCCCAAGTCTTTTGAGACCTCAAAGCCCACCCTCAATGACACACCTCCTCCAATAAGGCTACATCTCTTAATCCTTCCCAAAAAGTTCTACCCATTGGGGACTAAATATTGAAATACATGAGCTTATGGGAGGTACACTCATTCAAACTACACATTGAGTTGGAGAATCATTCTTTTAGTCAATACATGTATAATATACATATTCAATCTGCCTTTTCCTCAGCATCATGCTCAAAGGTGATTTTCTTTGGCTTTTCTGCTCATTATCCCCAACAAATGCTTTGAAAACTGTACCAAAGGAAATGTGTCAATTGCTACTCACCCCAGGTCTCCATCAAGGTTTTCAAACACTTCACCTCCAATAGTTTCATTATCCGGATTCAAGCAGATTTCTATCATATTATAAAGTGCATTTTGGCCCCAATCACTATCTTTTCGAGCTTTATTAAAATGTCGAAGGGCATCATTTGGTTCTCCAGTATACCTTATTGAATGATTGAAAAAACATTTCAATCACTGATTACAAATTTTATACCAGATCATAATATGCTTCATAAATAAATCTATTAAAACATTTCAAATTGCAGATTTATTTTTAAACATGAAGAAAAGCCTTTTCTATTTTCTGTACAATAAAGGGAGAAAAATCATTATAAAGTAGGATTTATCTGCCAATAGATTTACCAAAAATGTAATCCTTTACAGTACTGAAATCCTGGCTCCAATTTTGTTCTGGAGTTATGTTTCTCAGCCATTGAAAAAAATCTCGGAACATCCTCAAGTTTCCCACATCTTCTCAGGAGATCAATCAAACGAGACAAAGTCATAAAATTATCTAGAAACAAGCAATACTTCAGATGTAGATAACATGTTAAGATATTTGTTCTGATGTTTATACTTCTACTTTATTAATGTACAATTTACTTCAAATGAAACACAATGTAATAATCAAATGTTTTATGTGCTAGAATTTCCTAATGAGATGTATAGCCTTGGTCATGTATCAAATGATACCTGTTTCACTGGGTCGGCTACTGTAGAAGAAGGCATAATGTAGGCATGTCTAGAAAAAGGTTGATTTTATGCTACTTTTCAATGTTTCTGGAGTCAAAGCTTCTAGAAACAACCTTAAATTCTGGGTCATCTAAACCCTAAAATTCAGAAAGATAGATTGACAACTGCTTCTGAGACTCTCTTCCTACTTGCAGATGGAAGGTGGGTAATGGAAGTTCAGGATAGTGATTGAGGTAGGTGATCACAAGTTTTATTCCAGAATTTATTCTACATATGAAATGTTGAAGACTAGGCTCAGTGGACCATACCACAGCGTTACCATATTAGTTGCAGGATTTTAATCTGATTTCACCTTTTTCTAGACGAAATAGTTAATTCAGTTCTCTGGTTTCCAGTGTAACTTTCTCTTAAGTTCCTTCTAGCTTTCTCCCATTAGTATTGTACTAGGATTTGAGGAAGATTTTGACCAAGATTCATGAACACCAAAAGAAGAAAAAATGTACAAAATTGTGTGTAAAGAGGAAAAAAAATGACTCAATTTCACGACACAGAGATGAGGTAAGTCATATATGTATGACTAATAGTCAACTACTTGTAAATAAAACTTGGCTGACACTTAGGATTTTGATTCAACATTAGACAATAAATACTTCCCAACTGTCATTAAGTGGCCCTCAATGCTATGATTTTAACAGCTGCCTGACAGTCCATTACATTAGTAGTTAATTTCTCCGGGAGTCTGTTTTTAGGTGGTAGGTCTCCTGTGTTTCAATTATCCTAGAACTCATAGGGAATTTGTTAAAACTCTTAAACACACTACTGCGAGAACTTTCTTAGGGTGAATTCACAGAGCTAAAGTTATCTACATGAGCGTATGAACATAGCCCCAATTTTTAAAACAAATTATCTTTGACTCTAATTTTTAAAACTAAAGAGACGTTATTATATTAAAACCCTAATTTTTTTAGGAGACAAAAAAAGGAGACAATGCCTGGAGTACTGAATAAAGCCTCAACCAGACATTTGTGTGCATATTCACAGCAGTGATACTTGAAATAATTAGGAAGGGGGAACTATCCGAATGTCCATTAAAGATGACAGATAAGCCGGGCGGTGGTGGCGCACGCCTTTAATCCCAGCACTCGGGAGGCAGAGCCAGGCGGATCTCTGTGAGTTCGAGGCCAGCCTGGTCTCCAAAAGCGAGTTCCAGGAAAGGCGCAAAGCTACACAGAGAAACCCTGTCTCGAAAAACCAAAAAAAAAAAAAAAAAAAAAGATGACAGATAAGTGTGAGACAAGCATATCTAAAACACTAGCTTCTTGAAAATGAAAGAAACTCTTAACATAGCACCAGGGATGATCGCTGAAGACTATGCTAGGTGAAATGAGCCAGACCCATGGACAAATGCTGCAGGATATCCTGTTAGCCACCCGGACTTGCTAAGTGAAGGTATGAAAGAGTTTTCTAAGTCCCAGAATGATTAGCTACATTTACAAGTCTTTGTACAACAGGATGCACAATCCATCATAAAGCCAAAGAGTCTAAAAGTAGAACTCAACTAAGCAAGGACTAAAAGTTAAAACATCTGGCCAAACATTGCTAATATGTGGAGACATATTTTGCAAATATCTACATTTAACACTGGGAAGCCAGTTTCTTGAAATATTCCCTCCTTCTAGTACTATATCATTAGCTTAAGAAATAATGACCACAGAAAGACTAAACTACATTGTGTTATCTTTTTGTTAGCCTTGACATTTGAGAGAATGAGTGTTTTCATTTAAAAAAATGGCAATGTATCACAAGGTAAAAACAGTAGCTGGTATATTTTTTTTATTGACGGACAGTGCAAAGATATCAAAATAATGAAAGCGAGATGGGGCATGCAGGAGTGTAGTGCTGTGGAAATACATAGCACCAGAGAGGTCAGGTGTGCTTTCCTCAAAGAGCTGACCTTTGAAGAGCCTCAAGGATGGGCGCCAGCCATTGCCAGGCTGACAAAGGCATTCCCAGTAGCTGATGGCACTGCACACACAGAGCGGAGTTCAGCCCGGGGAGGATGGCAACCTTGATGTGGCTGAAGAGCAGGAAGAGGAATGAAAACAGAAGCAGAGGGCTAACACAGGCCACGATATTATTAAAATTGGGCTATAATTTTAGGCTTTTCTCTGCAGCATGAACCTACTCTGAACAAAGGGGTATTATGGGTTGGAGTACTGATCTGATGACATGAAAGCCAGCAGCCGCAAGAAGCCAGGGCTGGAAGAACGGGCGAGGTGACAAGGGTATCACTACAGCGGTGGGTCAGGAGAGGACAACAGACTGAGCGCGTTACTGGGACAACGGACTGACCGCGTTACCGAGACAACAGACTGACCGCGTTACTGGGACAACAGACTGACCGCGTTACCGAGACAACGGACTGACAACAGACTGACCGCGTTACTGAGACAACAGACTGACCGCGTTACTGGGACAACAGACTGACTGTGTTACTGGGACAACGGACTGACAACAGACTGACTGTGTTACTGAGACAACAGACTGAGCGCGTTACTGGGACAACAGACTGACCGCGTTACTGAGACAACAGACTGACCCTGTTACTGGGACAACGGACTGACAACAGACTGACCGTGTTACTGAGACAACAGACTGACCGTGTTACTGGGACAATAGACTGACCGTGTTACTGGGACAATAGACTGACCGTGTTACTGGGACAACGGACTGAGTTACTGGGACAACAGACTGACCGCGTTACTGAGACAATAGACCGCGTTACTGGGACAACAGACTGACCGCGTTACTGAGACAACAGACTGAGTTACTGGGACAACAGACTGACCGCGTTACCGAGACAACAGACTGACCGCGTTACCGAGACAACAGACTGACCGCGTTACTGGGACAACGGACTGAGCGCGTTACCGGGACAACGGACTGACCGTGTTACTGGGACAACAGACTGAGTTACTGGGACAACAGACTGACCGCGTTACTGGGACAACAGACTGAGCGCGTTACTGGGACAACGGACTGACCGTGTTACTGAGACAACAGACTGACAACAGACTGACCGCGTTACCGAGACAACAGACTGAGCGCGTTACTGGGACAACGGACTGACCGCGTTACTGGGACAACAGACTGACCGTGTTACTCAGCAACCAGGCAGATGGAACTGGGGTACTTGTTGACTACTTAAAATGGAAAAGGAGAAAAGTCAAGATATTGGGAAAATTTGAGACAAAATACAATATGATGATAGCAGAGTTACAACTGTAAAAGGTATTTTCAGTTAGAAATAAAATTGGACAGTATCCTTCTTTTTAAAAGTATTTTATTTTTAACTCTGTGTGTGTGTGTCTGTGTGTGCATGTGTGTGTCTGTGTGTGCATAAGTACACACATGAGGTAAGTGTCTTCTAGGCCAGAGGCATCAGATTCCCTGGAAGTGGAGTTACAGGGGATTGGCTAAATGACATAGGTTCTGGGAACCAAATGCTCTTAACAACTACACCATTCCTTCAGCTCTTGGATAGTACATTTCTAAAACAAGCTAAACACAGGCACACTCTAAGTTATACTATTGGTGATGATCAACAATGCATACATAAAATCACTGTACATGTGTATGCATTAGAAGAAATTATACAAATTTATAGATAAATAGGTAAAGTCCTACCAGGAATAAAGTGTTGGGATAATCTTTTTGTACACTGTGTGAAGATGTGTCTCTGTTTTATCTCACCTGCCTAAGGCTTCTTCTGATTGGTTTAATAAAAGAGCTGAACAGCCAATAGGTAGGCAGGAGAGGACAGGCAGGACTTCCAAGGAGAGATAGAAACTCTGGGAAGGAATCATAGGCATAGGAGATTCATCAGCTCGATGCAGAGGAAGTCAGATGTACAGTACTGAGGAGAGGTAATGAGCCATGTAGCAGATTAATATAATTTTAATTTAAATTTAAGTTTAAGTTTTAAGAGCTAGTGGGAACAAGCCTAAGCTAAGGCCAAGCTTTCGTAATTAATAACAGGTCTCTGTGTCATTATTCGGGAGCTGAAAGTCCAAAGAAAGACCCGTTACAATACAGCATACAGTATAAAAAAAAAAGGTCATATAAACAAAAATTTTAATTAAAATTTAGTAAGTTTAAGTACTGACATCAATCCATTCACTGATTACTGAATGAATGATGCAATCAGTGCTTCCTCTAATGAATTCACTCACTCAAACTACTTTGCAAATTTTCTCAAGCATCCAACACCCTTTCAACATTCCCTATTTTCACCTAAAAACCTCAGTGTTACCTGTCTAGGAAAATATGAACAGCCAGAAGAGAATTCTGTCCCCTGTCTACTCCCATCTTGTCATTCAGACTCATTCAATCAATAGTCACTGACTCTGTACTATGTGACTGGCTTGCATCTGTCAGGGATTTAAGATGAGCACATTATTGCTGACCTTGAAAAGTATACAGTCTAACAGAGAAGACATATATATATATTATATATTATATATAATATTCATATATATTAGCAAATACTCTCTTTTTGTTTCTTGTTTTTGTTTATTTGTTTATTTGTTTTTTTGAGTCAGGGTTTCTCTGAGTCATAGCCTTGGCTCCCTGGAACTCACTTTGTAGACCAGGCTGGCCTCAAACTCACAGAGATCTGCCTGTCTTTAATCCCGAGTGATGGGATTAAAGGTGTGTGCCTGGCTTGCAAATACTCTTAATTAACAAGGAGTTATTTATTGACAGTGTGATGTGGATTAGGGTGATCAGTTCATCCCACTTTGACTTTGTGTTTAGCATGGAAAGTTCTGGATCTAGAGCCCTTGTAGTCCTAGGCAAAGTAGGAAGTAAGGTACTTAATGCATAAGGCATTGCCTAGTGCACTCTCAAGAGTAATATACTTTAGACTACGTAGTGAGAAAGAAGAAAGAATATATTATAGACAGAAGAGGAACAATCTACACAAAGCTCCTAGCATATGGGTCCATGTCTTTCAGTATTGCTGGAGTACAATGTCCTTACACTGAAATTATGAAGAAATAGATTAAAAAAAAAACCCACAAAAGTAGGGGATGGGGAGATATATCAGACCTTTAAAATACATGTAAAAATACAAGGTGATGGTATGGGCCTATAGTCCCAGTGCTAGGGAGACTGAGACAGGGGGATCCCTAAGCCTCACTGGCTTGTCAGTCCAGCCTGATTCATGAGCTCCAGTCCAACAAGACACTTTGTCTCTAAAGAGATGGGCAGCTTACTAAGTAAGACTGATGCTCAAAGTTGTCCTCTGTTGTCCACACATGCCTCCCCTCATCTTTCTCACACACCCACACAAGCACAGAAACACATTAAAAAAAAAACTTCACAAGTAAGAGTGGAGCTGTTTGAGAGAGGAAGGGGATGAGAGTAATGAGGAGAGGGACAGAAGGGGTTAATGGAAATGAACATGATGGATTCACCCGTATCCCTATAGGAACATGTCACAGGAAACCTCTTACTTTGTACAATTACTATACACTTGTCAAAAAGAAGAAGAGACATGCTCCAAAGCAGCCAGTCTACCAACTCAATAACTATCAAGGGTTTGCAACAAATGCTGCTGTTGAAGAACAGAAACCTAGGTAAGAGAAAAGCCATGTGCCACAAGATGGCTTCTCTAAAACTTGCAAAAGAAACTCTAATGTGTGAGGGCAATATGGCCAAGAATAGCTTAACCCTACTCATGAGGAAGCAGAGTCTGTGCTTGAAAGAAATAAGATTAGATAATTCCTTCCTAGCACAGGAAATGGGAACAGCTTGAGGTAGACTGAAAACAACACGTGGAATGGGAAGTAGAAAGGGTAGGAAAGCCATGGCGGAGGCCTATGGGACATAAAGGTAGGTTTGGGCAAAGTGAGCAGGGAGAATAGGAAGTAACTTATGGCTGAGCACTGTCACTGCCACGCTGGTGACTGGGAATGGACTTCTCTTCCAATTCCTTGTAATTTCTCATTCTAGAAGTGGCATGATCTTAGGTGTGGGGAAGGAAGGTGATAGGAATGCTAGAAGTTTGAGGAGACAGAAGAAAATTGGAAAAGCAGTTGGAATAGTGAAATCATTAAAGTAACACGGGATACTGCAAGGCGGCCCAGCTAGGCTATGCTCACAATTTACAGAGACCCACAGACAGTGGGGCATTTTCCTGACGGCCATTTGAGCTACCTAGACCCAAGTGTGGAATTAGCAGAGTCAGATTCAATCAATTGCTCCTCCCCAACAGGTGATAGGCTAAAAAGGCAAAACAAACAAAACCTAAAGAGACAGGGAGATGATTACATTTGAGCAAAAATAGTCTTTGTGTATTTACCTGGTTTCCGTTCTAAAAGCTGCTGCAAATGAAACACTGCTTGTTCATAGTCCTGTTTTCTGAACATGAGGTCAGCCATCAACTGTAAAGATAAGGTGGTTCTAAAAACAGTACCACATATTTTTATAAAGCGTATTCTTTTAAAGAAGATTTAGCACTATAAAAATATTTATGAAAAATAGGAGGGACAACAATTTGCAAAAAATTAATCAAGCATGTAAACCAGATTGCTCTGTTCACAAATTTTTATTTTTAGCAAAAAATAAAATGTTTCAAGTGGTGGCATAAAAACAAATTTGAAGGGATGGAGAGATAGCTCAGTGTTTAAGAGCATGTATTACTCTCCCAGAGGACCCAAGTTCAATTCCCAGCACCTACCATGGGCAGCCTACAACTACTTTAACTCCAGCTCCAGGGTGACCCAATGCCTCTGATCTCTGAGGGCACTGGACTGAAGTGCACATCCCCTATTACCCTTACAATAGAAATAAAAACTATAACCATATATCTATAACACCAATTCAAAAGTTATTCAACATTCCACTGTGCTACTGTAGAAACATGCCTCACTGTAGTAAAGTGACAATAAAAAGATTAAAGGAGCCGGGCGGTGGTGGCGCACGCCTTTAATCCCAGCACTCAGGAGGCAGAGTCAGGCGGATCTCTGTGAGTTCGAGGCCAGCCTGGGCTACCAAGTGAGTCCCAGGAAAGGCGCAAAGCTACACAGAGAAACCCTGTCTCGAAAAACCAAAAAAAAAAAAAAGATTAAAGAAACCTTAAGTGACATATATTTCAAATCTTAGCAGGCAAGCGCTGCTGAGATTTTTCGTGTGTTTTAAGCAAGTTGAGTTCTATTTGACTTAGCTGTAATGGTAATCTTGAATAAGCCTCATACAATGTCATCCACACAAGGTACTGAAAGGCTAAAGAAAGCTTCAACCAGGTAGAAAAGAGACTGTGTAAACAAGCTAGTGATGCAGCGTGGTGGGGCCTTTTTTTTTTCTTCTCTTCTGTGACTCCAGAAGTTCTCTTGAAACCTTACATTAGCTCAGAATGTCAAAGCCTGGGTTTAACAAATCTTGTGATGGAAGACCACAGAACTACACCTGTCCAACATGCCCCTCAGGCATAAAGAAAACTAGTTAACTAGCTCCAAAGGGAAAGCAAAACATAATCTGCATTTATTGTCACTCCTGTAATGGTATGGCTAATGATCTTTGGTACTGGTTGGTAAACGTGCCCATGTTAGACATACGTTATTCTTCCATAAGCAAAAATTAACAGCACCCCACCATTTAATAGCAGTTCTATGGGTCAAATTTTGACAGTCCTAACAGAACTAAAACTCAAGTGCCTGAGCAGCAGAGAAGTCCAGACTGACCATGGTGGCCGGTTCATTATCCTGGTCCCTCTGGAGAAGCAGTGCGCAGTGCCTCAGGGAGGCATCAAGGTCTTCTTGGGCCAAGTATAACTGGGCCAGTTCCAACATTATCTAGGCAGCAAAAGCAAGATACTCAGACATTGGTTTCAAAATAAAATGAATGAACTGTTTGGATAAGATTAAATGACTCGTTTTAAAGTTATCACAATAAAAATGTCATGCACAGTGGAGAAGATAAATGATAGGCACATTCATCTCTAGTGTCTTTCAGGAAAAGACTGAAAAGCAGGTGATAACTCACTTGAAAAACAGAGATAAAAGGGATTGCTGATTTAAGGCTGGACACTGTATTACTGTACAAACTTCTCTGAAAAGACCAAGGCATCCTCTTTAAACCTGCTTTCTCATTTTAAAGTGAAGAAGGTTCAACTGGTAGACAGTCGCTAAGAATGCTTTTAAGCTAGAACTACTATTTCTACTCTTTCAGTCCCCAACGGAAAGGGGAACTGCTTGGGTATATCTTACCAAAGACTATTCCAGCAGCCACCACACTGAGTTACTGCAGTCACTTTCAGAGTCCTAGCACCAGGGAACCATCAAAACACAGATGCTAAAGTGCACAGCATGGCTTACCTAACTGAACCAAACTACCTAGATTGAGATATCGGTGACTAAAAATAGCTTTAAACTGATTATAAAAACACAGATGAATGTTTAAAATAAAGAAATTGCAGTTTGGTTTACATTAGTTATTCCACTATAATTTTTGTATGTTCGTGAGAGCACATGTGTGCACATGTGGGTGCACACGCGTAGGGGGCCTGAGTTCAACATCAGGTGTACTACCCTGTCACATTGTGTTGCGCATTTTGAGATGGTCTTTCACTGAACCTGGAGCTCACCAGTTCAGAGGGGCTGACTGTCCAGCAGTCCCATGATCCTCCTGCTCTGACTTGCCAGTGCTAGTTAGATTGAGGGGTGTGCTGCTGTGCCCAGCCTTTTTACACAGCTTCTTGGCGGTTGCAAGGGATCAATTTAAGTCCTTGTTCGTGTGTGGCAAGCACTTCACTGATTGTGCAAACTCTGTAGTCCCTCCAATGTAAGGCATCATCAGGTATTTTGTTTGATTTTGCATTACTGGGGACTGAACCCAGAGCTTTGCACATGCTAGGCAAGCAATCTACTGTGTAGCTCCACTCCCAGCCCCATATGCATTCTGAAAGTTTTCTAGAAACAGTATTTTTTTTTTAAAAAACCTGTTTTTTTGATACATTTATTGTCAAATATTTTTTATTAATAATCGTATAAGGCTTCTACATCTGAGCAAATTAGATGGTACCTGGAATAAAAAGAACTTACAATTTTGTAGTACTGACCTTACTATCTGTTTCACAATGTACCAGGGCCTCTCTATAAAATGTAATGGCTTTTTCATAGTCTCGCTGAGCAGCAGAGTGTTTCGCAATCTCTGCACAAATTTCAGCTGCAAAGTGCTTCTGTGAGGGAACTGCATCTGGCTGCTCCATCTGAACTCGCTTCAATATCCGAGCCTGCAGTTCTCGAGCCTAGAAAACAGTTAAGCATTGAAAAATGAGAAAGAATCAGGAAAGGAAAAGAAGCAATTTTCAACAGGTCATATAACAGTATAATTTTATAGTAAGATTTATATGAGCACTGATGGTCTGTGACATAACCACCCCCAAAAGAGCCTTATTATGACCTCAAACATACAGCTGCTTACAAACTAGCCAGCAGGCATTATCTGTCCAACCAAAGTACTGCAATATGGAGTCTTTTTCTATGTTACAGGGATGAACACAGAAAAAAATATAGGAAGATCACTAGATGCTATTAGTAAATAATTATAAATGCTAAATGTTTACCACATTAATGAAATGCAATAATAAAATTAAATGTTGATAGATTATAAGTAACATGTTGATAGCTTATGAATTAATCAAATATTTTTCTAAAAAAAAATATCAAAACCCAACCAGGCTATTGAACGTAGTAGCTTTTCCACTCTTGGGAAGGTATCAAGGATTTATTTAGAAGGGATAGAAACAAAACACAACAACTAATTACCCACTGTAAAGAAATATCTGTGTTATAAGATAGAATAGCTAAGAAAGAAATGGTAGCAATAAAACGCCCTTGAGTCAACCTAATGTACTGATGTGCAATCACCTGTCAGTTTATATAAACATGGACCTATGCTGAGCACAGACACCCTAGAACAAGGGGTCCTCACCTGCATAAGAATAGTAAGTAGATTGTTAGATTGGAAAGATGTCTTTTTATCCATACTTCTGGTTTGTAGAACATTAATAAGCGGGAGAGAATGCTATGCTTTAGTGCTTAACAAGTAAAATCGAACCATGATTTATTGACAATCATTCACTGTGACATATTTAGTAAAAAGTGAGTGCCTGCTATACACCACACATGAGGCTGTACACAGGGCACTGTTTCAAGGACTCCTGCTAAAATGTTGGTTGACAATTTATATTTGATAAGTATGATTTACAACATTTCAAAATTTTCTGAATCATCAGTTTAGAGGGTTATAATAGTCTTTTGGAAATGAAAGGATGATAAAACATGAATGTACATAGTATACAGCAAAGATTAAGTCTCTTTGATGCAATTCATATTTGATTACATAAATATGTATTTATGCATGCATGTATGTTTCTGATACTGTCCTGAAACATGTTCCATCTCTCTGGCTCTATCCTGTTTTGCACACAGTAAGAAAGAAAAAATGAAACAAACTATTTGCAACCGAGGCAACTTCCCAAGAATAGCTTCCTTTACCCATCAAGGTATGTGTTTTAGAATATTATTTTAAGATGTGCTACATTTGTTTATGCTGTGGAACATTTGTTTCATGATGTCACATTCTTTTATGTTGTATTTGTTTAAATCTGTGAAGCTGGGTTACTTTGCTTGTTTAAAACACCTGATCGTCTAATAAAGAGTGGAACAGCCAAGAGTGAGACAGGAGAAAGGATAGCAGGGCTGGCAGGCAGAGAGAATAAACAGGAGAAATCTGGGAGTAAGAAGAGAGATCAAGGCACGAGAGAGGGTGGAGGACGTTAGGAGCCAGCCACCCAGCCACCCAGCCACGCATGGAGTAAGAGTGAACGTAAGATTACAGTATTAAGAAAAGGAAAAATCCCAGAGGCAAAAGGTAGATGTGATAATTTAAAGTTAAGTAAAGCTGACAAGAAACAAACCAAGCTAAGGCTGGGCATTCATAAGAAAGAATAAGTCTCTGTGTGTGATTTATTTGGGAGTTGGGTGGCAGGCCCCCCAAAGGAGAAGAGTAAGAACAACTACATTTTGGTGTTCCAACATGGGGCTAGAGTAAAAGAAAAGTGAACTATAGGTACGAACTGAAATGCTTTGAACCTTGGAGACAGCCTCAGTTTATACTCGCTTATCTATCTGATTATTAACATTGCCCTCTTTTTTATTTTTTAAAGGAATTTCTCTCGGTAGCAGAGGCCGAGATGTCCAATACCAAGGTGCAGCACCAAGCAAGGGCTTCTTTCTCTGCCGTCTTACGGCCAAAGGGGAGAGGTCAGAGAGGAGGAGGCTGATATGAAGCTTTAAGTCCCTTCCTAGTAAACATGGATCCATTCACGAGGGTGAACATTTTAAACACACCTCATAGGTAGAATTCCAACTCTGTTTAATTGAGAATTAAATTTCAAACACACACTTTCTAAGAGACACAGTTAAACCATTGCAACTTTTCCAGACAAACATAGGTTCTAAGTCTTTGATGGTGGCTATGATTCCTAGGACCAGTACCCAATAATGAAATACTGCTTTGGTTTATAATTTAGGTAGCATGTAGTAGTCAAGAAGCTTCTACTCTGTACCTGTAAAAGACTCGCTCTAAAGACATAATTTGAAAACTTGAGTATCAGAATCACCAGAGGGGAGCTTTAAAATGAGAATTGTGGATGCCATCTCAAGAGTTTCTTATTCACAAGGCCAGCTGAGTGAGAAAGGCGTATTTTTAAATGCCTAGGTGATGTTGGTGCCAATGGAAGTCAGGCCTGCAGACGGCTAGACAGCCCTTCAAGCATCCCACCCAGCACAGCACCCACTGCTGCGCTTCATAAAAGAGGCATACACAGGTGGCGAGCACTGCAAGTCAACCGAATGGCTGGTGATTGTGAGATCCACTTAATACCAAACAGTGGCCTAAATGTTAACTACGGTGTCAGTCCAGAGCTGGGTATGTGGACACACTCAGTAAATATTATTACTATTTTAACACACTCAGTAAATATTATTACCATTTTAGCTCTCTTTTATTAACTAAAACCTATCCACCAGTCACTAGTTACTCCTGCATCTTTATTTTATTGTGAAACAACCAGAGATTATATCTTTGACATCTATTTTAAGTTATTAAAACGTTAAAAATTAAAATATGAGGGCATCACTCCACACTTCCCTTTCCTCCATCTCATACTGGTAGCCTTGTTTTCTGTTATTATTGTCACTTTATAACTACACACATATATAAATACAGCCTGCTGATTCTCTTTAGTGTGGCCAGCTTTACAGAAGCTCTGTGCTTTGAATGATAAATTTTATGAACTAAAAGATTGGTAAAAGGTATGTAATCTATGTCTAACAGATATGCAGTCTATGTAATCTGAGTTTTATCTTTGCATCTGCTAAATTTCTAGAAAGACAAATGGGGTAGTGGTGTGTGTCTCATTTGTTTAGCTCTCAAGAGGAACACATTTATAGATTGGGTTGTGTGTGTGTGTGTGTGTGTGTGTGTGAGAGAGAGAGAGAGAGAGAGAGAGAGAGAGAGAGAGAGAGAGAGAGAGAGAGAGAGAGGAGACAGAGAGAGAAGAGACTTTGCTATTTTCATAAGGATAAATAACTATAAGATACTTGCATAAAATAATTTTGCATCTTATAGCTAAAACATTTTATAAAAAATGTTAAGTTGCTATAGAGAAATGGATAAAGAAAATGTGGTACATTTATACAATGGAGTATTACTTAGCTGTTAAAAACAAAGACATCAGGAAATTTGCAGGCAAATGGATGGAACTAGAAAAAAATCATCCTGAGTGAGGGAAAACAGACTGAGAAAGACAAACATGCTATGTACTCACTCTTAAGTGGATACCAACTGTAAAGTGAAGGATAACCATGCTACAATCCATAAGGCTAGATAACAAGGAGGACCCAAGGGGAGACGCATGGATCTCCCTGGGAAGGGGAAATAAAGAGATCTCCTAGTTGGAGTGGGTGGGTAGGCATGGGAACTTGAGGGATTGGGTTGGGGTGTGGGCAGAGGGAGACAGTGCTGAGAGAGATGACTGGAAAGGGGGGTTTTACAGAGTAGGGTAGTAGCCTGATGCAAGGGAAACTTCCACGAGTCTGTAAGGATGGCCCCAGTTAAGACTCCTGGTAGCAGTGGATGCATAGTCTGAACTGGACATCCCCTATGATTAGATTGCTGACTACCCAGGTTGTCGTTGGAAAGCCTTCATCAAATGACTGATGGAGGCAGATTCAGAGACCCAGAGCCAAACACCATGTGGGAGGAGGGATTGTAGGAAATGGGGGGAGGGGGGTGAGGGCAGGAGGGGGGAAAGTCGGGAACATCTTGACAACCAGGGAGCCTGCATGGGACTGACCTAGGCACTCTGTATATATGTGACAGTTGTGTAGCTTGGTCTGTATGTGGGACTCCTGGAAATGGGAGCAGGGGCTGTCCCTGGTGCTTTGCCTGGCTCTTTGGAACCTATTCCTCATGCTGGAGTTCCTTGCCCAGCTTTAGAACAGGAGGAGGTGCTTGGTCTTACAACAGCTTTGCTGACCCATGGGAGGCCTTCCCCTTTCTGAGTGATTACAGAGGAGGGGTGGATTGAGGGTGGTGCAGAGAGAAGGAGCGGGGAGGGGAGCTGTGGTTGGGATTTAAAATAAATAAATAAATGAATAAATAAATAAATAAATAAATAGAATAGTATATGTATTAAGAAGGAAACTGCTTTTTTATTCCTAATAAAGCACCGTCATGTGGTAAAAAGCCAGCATTGAATAAAACCAGAGAGAAAAGGGTATTTCATTAATAATACCAACAAGAATAAATCCCTGTATGATTATTTAAAAAGAAGGCAAATAAAATTAAAATATCAAGACTATGAAACATTTTTTATAGCAGATACAGGCAATCAGAATATTTATTGTACTTGACAATTGAACAAATTATTTTAAAAACATGACCATGCAGGCTGACAAAAGAGGAAGTTTAAAATGGTCAGCGTGAAACCTCTTGAAGTGGTTGAACTAAAACCTAGTTTCCATAAAGGCAGTGGCGAGACTACAGTAGTTTCAAACTTAAGTGTTCTCAACTTTCACAAACAGTCTTCTTACAGACTTTAATGAACCACATGAAGAAAATCTGAACAAAGTGTCAGAAAACATCTTTCAATAATGGAAAAATCACTTAAAAATAGACATTTATTTCAAAAATATAAGGATTGATCAATATCTGAGAGTTACCTTAATATACCACATTAACAGACAAAATAAAACAGGGCATATAACCATCTTGATAGAATGACTTTCATTTTCTTATTAAAAATTGTTAGTAAATAAGAAATTGAAAAAAAAATGACTGAAAGCCATTTAACTACTTAAGAAAACAACAAAATGTAAAACTTCTACTTTGAAAAACCACAAAATATTAGGAAAGATTAAAGATCGAAATAAGTGGAGAAATTAAGTACTGAGTTCATAACACTTCCCCAGTTTTTTAGACCGTAGAACAGAAATAAAATGGCGAAGCATTCTTAACTGTTAGAATGGCAGTGTTTTATGTGGACCACCTTTAGGCACTGGTACGTCCTCTGTAACTATTGGGTCCACAGGGAGTATTTTCAGCCGGTCTCCCAACTCTCTGCCCACAGTCCCACATACTGTACCTGCTGTAATGCAGCAATCGCATCGCTGGGTCTTTCCATTTTAGAGTAAACTTTTGCTAGAAGGACTTGGGAACGCCCATCCTCCATGAGAGCTGACAATTCAGTTACTAAGAATGGAATGCAAAGGGGATAGTGTCATTTAAAATAAATGTCTATATTTCTCTACATTAAAAAACTGGTCTTAAAAAAGATTTTGACAGTAAATAATAACTTAAAATTTTATAAAGTTAAAGTATAACAAAATCATAAAAAAAGATTTAGGATAGTAATTGGCTGGAAGAAAATGTAGAGAACTGAACAGTAATTAGCATTTGTTTTTAGACACTTATTAGCAGGTAATCTTATCACTCATGTCAAGATTGCAATTTTCATTTTTCAGTCTGTAAAAATGTCTGATGACGCCATTAAAATAGAATAGTCTCTGCATACAATTAAGGAATTGCTTTTTTAATTCTTAATCAATTACCATCATTAAGGGCACAAACTACAATGTCCACAGGTCTGGTTTCTAGTCTAGGCTCATCTCTAGCTAACTATGTAATCTTTCCCCCTGTAGAATAATATTCCCTATTTAGCATAAAAGTGAAACTTCAAATAAGTCCAATAAATAATCCAAACAAAGTGGCACGCAATGATCTAAGGAATACTTTGTGACTGAAGGGGCACGTCAGACCCCTAAATGAGGACAAAGTCAGTTTGTTGCACCATTTATGGAGTATACAATCCAGGCCACATTCTGCTATATACCCCCTGCACGTAGGTCAGAGCACTATTTAGAGGAGTTGGTTCTCTCCTTTGCTCATATGGATCCAGGAGATCAATCTCAGGTTGTCAGGCCTAGCAGCAAGCGCCTTTACCTGCTGAGCCATCTTGCTGGCTCAATCACTGTTTAACACTTCAACCTGTTGAAGGAGTGCTTTGTTTTGTAATTAATTAACAAATTTGATTAACAAAAACTCAGCCTAGCATGAATAAGGTTCCAAAATTTGTCATGGTTACTTTACAGGTAAGAAAAGCTGGGAAGTGGGCGGAGTGACAAATAGAAACAATGTGGAAGTCCACAGAAGCTGGAGTCTTCGCTCTGACCTAATTAGAGGGCCAGGGTGGCAGGGCTGTAAAAGTAATGTGGCTGGATTTACAGAAAAGCTTTAGATCACTTCTGGATTCAGAGAGGCTGCAGCAGTTGAGGACTGAAGCAGGGCAGACTGGTGGAAGTAGGGAGGATGCAGTCGGGCAGGTCAGCTAGCTACCATCCCAATCCAGGAGAAGCAAATGGGGACAGAACGTAGTGGAAACTGAGTTGTGGGAGCAGTGAGACTCAGAAGTGAGTCATCAGCTATTTAAACAGAACGAAAAGGCAGAAGCCAAGACTTTGGTTCTTACCCACTAAAATGAAAATAAAGTTGTAATGGTTGAGAGGAGGAGGGTCCCATGCAGAAAACATTTAGGAGATGTATTAAGAATTTCGGTTTAGGCAGAATAAATTAAAGACGTATGTTAGAAATCAGGTACTTGTATTTATAAGCTGTGGAAACCTTTATATATGAAGGAACATGAGCTGTAGACTGCTGATTTAAAAAAATAGGGACAATTTAAAGTTAATTAATACAGTAACACATGAAATGTGTATAAAGGTCCATTAGTCTGCCTCAGGCTGTGTTCAACAAACATTCATTAAGCTTTTACTACATAAACACAACACAGTTAACTTGTATAAAATACATACTGTATTTTCCCCTACAACCTTAGGCCCTTTTGTGTTAGCAGTGAGAGCTGACTGAGCAATGCACACTGTTCGGCATGAGTGAGAAATCACACAGTAAATGTATCCTTAATTGGGAGGATTTATGGGACAACTTCATTAAAACTAAACTAAGACCATCTGGGAGTATTAGAAAGCTTAGGGTAGACTCCTCTTACAGATGGAAACTTACATGGTGTTAGCAAAAGAAAATCAATGGAATGAAATTAAGTTTCCAAAGAGTCACATATATGGGATTTACTGTGAACTAAAGGTGGTATTTGAAAAAACAATTAAAGCTGACTATCCATTTTGAAGATGATATAGAAAAAAATTATATGTAGTTTAAAGTCCTTAATTGAAAATAAAGACAAAAAGGCCAAGTAACATCCCATAAGACTTTTATAACATGGTTATGAAAGCTTTTTCACAAAATAAAGTAACAAAGAAACCAAAGAAGAAAGATGGTCTGATTTGATATATGGTAAGACACAATAAATAAACTTGGCAAACAACAACAACAACAAAAAATCCCAAAAAACAAAAAAACAAGACAAAACAAAAAAACCAACCAACCAACCAAACACCAGCCCCAGCAAGATCGTCTATCACAAAATGAATTTGGGCAGCTGAGAAAGGATTGGCATGAATTCTAGGCCAGCCTGGGCCTAGAGGAGATCATCCTTCCCATGAAACAAAGCAACAAGAAAGAATGAAACAATATTCAGTTCTAGTAAGTACACAGAGGTATATAAACCAAAATCGTCCCACAGTTTTGTTTTTAAATTTTTCTTCAAATACTAATAAATACAAACACACAATATTCTGTGATTTTAAGACACATTTCATAATTTTGAAACAGAGGACTATATTTGCAAATAAGAAAAGAAATAAGATGAAAATAGTATAGAATTATACATAACTGTAAATACATAGTCTAGTGTGCATAGCTATTCCCCAATACCTGGGGGACTGGTTTTGAGCACTTCCATCCAATACCTAAATCCATGGGTGTGCAGATCCTTTATGTAAGTGATGTAGTGTTTTCACATAAAATGCACGTGTCTGCTGATATCATCTAAATCATTGCTAGATTACTAATAACACCCAACATAATGGAAATGTTATATAAATATCTCTTTTGTGATAGTTAGGAAATAATGACAAGAAAAGTGTCTCTACATGTTCAGAACAGGAACAACCTTTCTTTGAAATATTTATGACCCATGGTTGGCTGGGTCTGCGGATTCCAGAATGTCAACTGTAACTGTGTGTGCACCGGAACAGAAGCATGAGTAGGCCGACTTAGGAAAATATGAAGGTGGCTAATTGGAGATTTCTCGGGTGAGTGGGAGAAAGCAAGGCTTTCACTTACTTCAGCAATCTTTAAACTCTGAGAGGAATAAGCACTATATTTTACTAAAAATTGAAAGTCTTAAAAAAAAAATAAACTTGCCCACTTGTAAAAAGGCAATGTGAAAATACTGGAAAAAAATCTCTATGCACAAATGTTTTCCCAGCATGTATTCTTAAGAAATATAAGCAAGTACTCGGGGAGATGGTTCAATGGTAAAGATGGCTGCTGCCATGTCCGACAAACTGAGTTCAATATCTGGGATATACTTCCCCGAGTTGTCCTCTGACCTCAACACCTACTCGATGGCATGAGAACACACCTGCAACACACATTATAAACCCAAAGAGGAAACAAATGTAAAAAATTTAAAATGCAACTGTACACCAAGGATTAAGATATAAGTGTATTAGTTGTAATGTGGTTTATGGTACCATTATGGGAAAACAAAATAAATGCTCAATAATATTAGTAAAATTAAAAATATTACCAAGTTATAAAACATTAATGCTATTTGATCAAATGGTATGAATGTAATGGTACCAACACATATTTTCTCATATTGTATACAGAGAAAATAGCTAAAGAGGTAATACATTTTTTGAAAAGGAAAATCACAAAGACCATATTTATATAAAAACACAAACAAATGCATAGAGAATATATATTTATTCACATTCCACCTATATGGAAAGTAATGTCAGCAGAATTTGTGGAAAAACAGTTGACTTAATGCATTACTATACTTTTATAATGCCTGAATTTTTTTGTATGCATTTGTTTGTATGTGTGCATTTGTGTATCATGTAGAGGCCAGAGTCAATGTCAGGGCCAATCTTCACCCTACCTTTGAGACAGGGTCTCACTGAACCTGAGCAGGATAATTTGTCTGGCCAGTATCAGATATGAATGCTGTCTCTGCTTCCCCATCTCTAAGATTATAGGCACAGGGTGCTGGGCTTCTTAAGTTTTTTTTCTTTTTAATGTCAATTCTAGAGGTCCAAACCCAGGTCATCAAGGAAGTACTTTAGCAATGGGCTTATCTCTGCAACAACTCAAGATACTTGAATTCTTAAGAAAAAATTAATATTTTTACAAGTCAACATTATAAAAGTGGCCGGGGGTGGTGGCACATGCCTTTGATCCCAACACTCGGGAGGGGAGGCAGAGGCAGGTGGATCTCTGTGAGCTGAAGGCCAGCCTGGGCTACAGAGTGAGTTCCAGGAAAGGCTCCAAAGCTACATAGAGAAACCCTGTCTCAAAACAAACAAACAAGATTATAAAAGTGTTGAAGTGCTTAAATATCAATAATTGTAATTTATATATATTTCTATCATTTTTGGAATTAAGCGCTTTTATAACACAATTAACTATTTATTAAATTTATTATTAGATTTAAAACACACCCATTTGGCAGAGTTGAGTTCTGAAAGAAGAAAAATACATGTGAATTCATATAACCAACTACATATAAAAATATCAAGAAAACCAATATATAATTAGGTATTATAAAAATAAATAGACCAGATTTATCAAGCAAACTTTTTTCTAATCAGAATGACTTTCATACCAGGTTCATGAGCTAGAGAATGCTGGAGAACTTTCTCTGCTTTCTCATACAACTTCAGTCTTAGTAAGAGCTCAGCCAGGTCATAGCAAAGGCAATTTTGTTGTCCACTTTTCAGAGCAGCTTCATAATAGGTGATTGCCTAAACAAAGTCCATTTCAGTTAGGGCTTAAAAAAGCACCGAAATTTCATACATCCCAGGCATAAGGCATACTGATAACTAGAAATAATATATGAAGAACAGTAGGCATATATCTGTGCTGTCAGAGAAGTAAGCTGCTTTTCTTAGAGAATCATAGAATACAGAGCAACCAGCATTTTCTTACAATAAAGGAATAATGAACAATACTAGGCAAAAAAATTTAGAGATTATTCTAGAGGTCAGCAAGCCTTCTTAAACACATTTGCTTTCCTAGTAGGTGTACATGTACTTAACAATGACCAGGCATAGCACATACACCAATCAAGGGAAACACTTTCTCCCTACTAGAAACCAAAACACAACCTCCTTGAAGCGTATAGCTTGACCAAACTGGCAGAGCAGAAAGGAAAGTAATTACGCTACATTACGTAACAAAGGAGATGTGGGATTAGTGACTTTAGGACCATTATTTGATTGCAGAGACTGAGAAGAAGCTTAAAGTACTGCTAGGGTCAAAACAATCTTCACAAAAGGCAGCACTGAAGAAAGTAGGTTACTGAGAAAATCTGACACGACACAAATACCAGTTTGCACACACGAACGTGGAGCTTAAAATCACCAAAGATGCGGAAGGTGGCTGCTGCTGCTGCTGCTGCTGCTGCAGGCTTCTCTACAGCAGGTCTGGATCAACTTGATCCAACAGATGTACTGACATTATGGAGCAGTTACCTTTGAGTAATTGTGAGTTTTGACAAGCGCTTTCCCAATTTTTCTTGCCAGTGTTCCATCTTTTGGGTTCTGATTTAATGCTTGTTCATAGGCCACTATGGCTTCTTCAGGCTAACATTGTCAGACACAAATGACCAACATTAACCAACAGCTTAAGTGGATCCATTAAAGACCAACATTTCCGAAACTAAGGCCCTCCCAACGTGGACTACTTTAACACAGTATATACTGAAGAACATAAAAGTAAACAATTCTAGATAGAAGACGGAAAGTGGGCCAGATACTCATCACTGTAATCATACCCACAATGACCACACTCTTGACTATAGCAACTTTGCATTTCCTGACAGTCACTATAACTGTCAGTAGATCTCTCTCCACCCTTCTGTTTAGAGGAAACTCCTGACATTCTCCTAGCAACATCTCTATTGCAGATAAGATCGCTGAGTTAAGTCTCCATGTTAAAAACATGGTGGAACCTAACCTTTTTTGCAATCACTAGAACTCAAATATTAAACGATGAAAAAGCTAAATTCCTTTTAATAGAAAGTTATACTAATTATAAAGTTCTACATTTTAAAAAAATATTTGAATTCAGTAGAATTAGAAATTTTACCTCTTGGATGTTCATGTATGCATCACCAAGGAGCAGAAAGGACCGGGGACTGGGCATTCTTTCAGCAATTTCTCTGGAAATTAGACCAACTTTACTTAGTATATTGAATACAGGTAACATTTACAAACCAGTAAGATAAAATGATGGTTTATTTATCTCAAGTATACAGTAGCCTTCAGAATATTGCCAGTAGTGTTATCTTGTTAACATGTATACTTTTCTTGCTACATCACAATGCACTTTTCAATGACTCTTTCCATTTTCTGACATGCAGGAGGAGAGTAATGGTAGACAGTAAACATTCAAACTCTCCTTGTCCGGAGGATTCCTTAACAGGAGGAAGGGACTGTGTGGTCTACCTGAGCTCTCACCTTCAGGGTGAGAATTAGTGGATGAAATTACCTCCAAACCACCACGTCTTCTGCTTCAGCATCTGCTGCTTGTTTATTTGCAACAAGTAGATGACTGAGATCTTCCTGCTTCACCCCACCCCCAAGTGTTACAATGACAAGTCTGCACCACCACGCTTGGTTTGCTGCTCCATTTTAAACATACCACACCTGAGCATTTACAACCTCTATGATAAAACTAATTACTATTCCAACTTTATAGATGCTGCTAAGAGTGCGTGTCCAGAGCTAATCTGTCAGATTTGCCTGAAACCAAAACATGCTTTTCGTTATTACATCACAGCACATCCAAAAGAAACTAAACCTTTTGGTTCCTGTTTTTGGAGACAAGAGTGTTGCTATACAGCCTCATTGGCCTGAAACTCTTACATAGGGCAGGCTGCTCTCAAAGTCACAATAATCCTCCTGCCTCAGGCTGCTTAATGCTACAAGCCACCATACTGGATGTAGAAGCATGATCCTGACATTTAAACGTCTCACCATCATCAGAAGGCACTGGTTTCTTAGAATACTTGATACTTACTAAGAATTTGAGTAACATGTTTGGTTAGATTGTTGGATATGTTGATGAGTGAGAACTGACTTAGTCTGCTCACTTAGTCACACATTCACAGCAACATGTATGCACCGTGTCCCAGTAACTCTTAGGGCCTCATGTGACAAAGCTATTGTTCACTCAAAAGGAAGAGGTGAATCATAACTTGGAGTTTGGAGCACATTAACTGACAATTTTCCTCTTCTACAATAGATATGCCAAGTATTAAATATGCCTGTCTAGGCTCTGGATCGTTGCTATATAATGTGGTTATTAGAGTATATCTAACTCTTGCCTTTTCTTTCCCCAAACCAAAGAGTCAGAGCTAAAACGGACATTTGATGAGGGTATTTCAGAAAATACTAGGCCATGCACTGAAGCAACCGTAGTTCTATTTAGGGTAAACACGTTGGTGAGAGTGATCATGGGCATGACCACCTCCAAGAAAAGACCTGTAAAGACTCTGTGACATGAAAAAGACAGAATGCCAACATGAGGGCTAATTTCAGGAGGAAATGTGCCATGTAAGTAACAACTTACCTGTAACAGGTGATATATAACATTTTCTCTTTTCTATGCTTCAGGTAAATATCTGCCATTTTTTCTTTGGCCTCTATAAAATAAGGCTGTTCGGTTGTGACATTTCGAAGCATGCTTAATGCACGCTCCGTATCTCCTTGGGCCAGAGCCAGGTCTGCATTAGCAATAGTAACACGTAATTCTTCACACGTTCCAGAAAACTCATGGATGGCATCTTGTAAAACCTTTGCTGCCTCGTGCTGTAAAGAAAAAAAAAAAGAAAGACTCCTACAAAATAGGCAACAAATTACCCCAGAGAGGAGCCTCATCTACCAAAACACAATGATGTCAGTACATTCATGGTGTTTACAAAAATAAACTGATAGGTTTTTAAGTGAAGTCTTTAAGTTTAAAGAGACCAAAACCAGTTGAGGCTATAAATATTAGTTAAGTGGCTGTTTTTTTACAACCAGGATGACAGCAGTTGCTATACAGAGTTACTACTATTCTGGAACAGAATCGTAAATTACATGATTACATTTCATGGTGGTCAACATAGGTAGGCACAATGAAAAATCCATCCAGGGTCAAATTACATTTAATTTCCAGGCACTTGCAAGATGCACATATTTTACTGAAAGGTTAGGAAAAAGTAAGTTGCTAAATTTTGACAGTTGGCCAAGGGACTAATTCTGGCTTTTTGATTTTCTATATGTATATCATATATATCTATGTAGAAAATTATTCAAATAGAATTACATATTTATATATTACATATTACACAGGAGAGAGGAAGGTATTAGTACATACATGTGCATGCATGCGCACATCACATCCCCATACCCCCACAAGCTCCAATCTGCATTAACTTACCTGTTCTCCATTTAAGCGGTGAACCTCCACCAACTCCAGGAAGATGGATAAACGGTGGCTGGCATCCACCTCAGTTCTGTGTTTTGACTTCGAGGAGGCTCTACTTCTCCTCATTCCTGGGAGGTTCATTGCCATGTGCAGAGTTTTAATTGCTTCTGCTACTTCTCCCATTTTCTTTTGTGACTGTGCTTTGATTAAGTGGTATAATGGGTAGTCTCTCACCTGAGAAAAAAATTAACAATAGTTCTCAGATGTGTCCACAATGGAAAACCAGAGTTTACAATCCACCAAATATGTCATAGGAATCTTGAGTATAGCTCATTTGTGATCATATCCACAAAGTCTGTTTCTGACCTTATTTATTCACTTCCTAATCATAATTTTAAATTAAAATTGTATTAGAAAGGACTTGCAAATTTAAAAAAAACCTCACATATTGAAATTACCCAGACCCAAATACTATACATGTCAATCAACTATGTAGTAGTTTAATCATATTAACTCTAACGTTCAGGAAAACTGCTACTCCAGCATCCTCCTGAATGTCAAAGAGGTTGAACAATTAATGTTTTTACAGGGTAAACAACACATCCTAAAATTTGAACTTTCAGTAAAGGGATATCTTTATTTGAGGCTTCTCTAGTAGTGATATGCCTCTTAGATTTCTAGAAAAAAGTCTGCATTTCTATTCTTTTTTACTTTTAATACTAAAAGTCTCAAGGTGCTTTCATTAAACATTGGTCTTCCCTTTTCATATTACCCCTAAACACAAAGTAAAGAATCTTCCATCTGTATTTCAGCTGTAAACAGTATATAGAGCTTAGAGGGGACTAATTGAATGAGTGATAAAGAGAAGCCAAAGGGCATGACCGTCAGTGTGGTGGTGGGGAAACTACCACAGACCGAAGGAGCCTTAGTCCTCCAGCAGCTGGAGGTTGTGCACCTGGGGACTGGACTGAACACTCACACCTGCTCCTCTTCCAGAGCGTGAAGAACAGTGCATGGGCACAGCACTGGGTGCTCCTACATCTAGAGCCCTACTGTCCCAAGACAAAGAAGCAATAGTTCTGGCTTCTTATTTAGAACTTGAATTCTCTGGAGTGGGTAGCTGTTTCAGCTTGGACCTGGAAGTACTACCCCCACTGAGGCTTCTGGTAATTGTCACTCCTACGAGGTGGGGCCGAGACAGGAGCCCTTAAGACCCGAGATCCAGATGTGCCAGCTCTCTTGGTTCCTGGATCTTGGACGCTGGAGGTAGATGGAGCAGAGTTCTCCAGAGAACACTGCTGGACTGCACTTCACCTCTCCTGGACCCTGTAACCTATCCCTTTACTTGTAAGTTACCCCACAAAATAAACCTCCCTTTTAACTACGTGGAGTTGCCTTAATATTTCCAACAATAATTCTCTAGCTCATTTCATGGTTTTCTCCCAGAACGGAGTGAATCACCAGTTTGAGGCTTCCTTCCACGAGTCTAAAATAGTGCTAGAAGCATCTAATGTTCAGGGAAAATGACTGAAATTTCCTGGATCATAAGAGATGTCTTTATAGCTTCAAACCACATAATATTCATTTCCAAAATCAGTGTGTATTATTTGACAATGAATCTAAAAAGAGATTATGGAAAAGCAACTGTAAGAGGTTGTGGTAGTTCCCACCTGTACTCCTAGCACTTGGGAGGCTGAGGCAGGAGGATTGATGTAAGTTTGTGGACAACAGTCTACAAAGTGAATTCCAGGTCAGTTTGTCCTACAAAGAAGAATACCACCTCTAAAAAAGCAGAAAAGGAAAGAAAAAGAAAAAGGAAAGCAAAGTCCAAGAAGAAAATGGGCAGTAACATTATACTAACCTTCTCCATTAAAGTATTTGCACAATTCTGCATGTTTTAAAATTATTGTATATATACTTAATTGCTGTATTTAATTCCCATCATAACAAAAACTATTCTACAAATTACACAGAAAAGAAAACCGAGACTTAGAGAAGTACAAAGACTAGAGATTGATCCCCGATCATTCATTACCAAATTCATACAAATTTATTTTATTGATTTGGTGTGTGTGTGTGTGTGTGTGTGTGTGTGTGTTTGTATGCGCTCGTGTGTATGCATGCTGTGATATTGTCTTTCCATATTGTTCAGGCTAGCCTGGAGCTCCTGGTTTCCAGCCTCCTAAGTAGCTAGGATTACTGGTACCCACTACCTAGGTAGTCTGATATTGTGGTAGTTATGTTGTGGTAATTCATATGGTTTTTCATCTATATCAAAGACATCTGAACATTTTCTCCTGTTTCTTGTAATTTCAAAATTCTATTAAAATATTTATTGGCAACGTATTTTAGATTCACATGTAAAATAATTGAACATGTATACATCCATTAAAAGTTCAAGGAACATGCTATGTCTTAACCATTTTAATCTGGAATACTTACATTAAAATTATAGCTCAGACAAAGTTCCAGAGACTGAGAACATAGTTTGACTTTCTCTTGAGACAAGTACACCTGTGCCATCAAGAGGTGGGCCTCCGCGTAGGAGGGGCTGTGCTCTAGACAGTGTTGCAGGTTGTTGTATGCCGCTTCAATGTCACCTAATGGGGGAAACAATGCCTGTGAGGCGTCAGAGTTCAGAGGTAGAGCCCTGAGACGGGACCTAGATCACAAGCAGTTATGGTTCCAGTGTTTAACTCCTCTGTCATGAAGCCATGCCTCCATTGCTACCTGTCCTAGTTAGTTTCCTTCTAGCCACTTGAAGAATAGACCTATGTATCAGGACAACAGTTGGTCACCACAAATCAAGGGAAATAGAAAGGATGACAGCTGGTGTCCATTATTACTGGCAAGACTAAGCATTTACCTTCATTTCCCTCCTAAAAAAGTTTTGTTTATAATTACATTAAAATGGGCTTGAGACTGTTGTCATTTCAATAAGGATTGTCTCTCATAGGCTTGAGCATTTGAAGGCTTGGTGGCCAGTTGGTGGCAGTTTGGGGAGGTTTAGAAATGATGGCTTTTTTGGAGGAAATGTATCATTGGGGAGTGGGTATTGAGGATTTTTAACCTCACTCCACTTGGAGTTCAATTTCTGGGCTTCATGTTTGCATTTGAAAGTTGATCTCTCAGCTTCCTGCTGCAGCCCCATGCCTGCACTTGCTGGAATCTTATCCTTCTGGAACCATAAGGCCACATAAAGGGTTTCTTCTATAAACTGCCTTGCTCTTACCATAGCAACAGAAAGTGACAGGGCAAAGACATTTATAAACCTAGAACTCTTTGGTATCATATACACTAACAAAGAGGACATATTCTACAACTGGGCTACATGACTGTGTGGTATCAAAGACTACTGGGGTCCAGCCCCTCTATAGTTTTTTCCCAGAGTTCCAGAAGAGACACTACCAGTGGCAGATTAATTAATCTATGGGATTTCCTGAATAAATCTGCATACATGAAACTCTTTAGCCCATTTATGCTTCTGAGTCAGTTCTCTCTCTACACAGCTTCTTTTCTGCTCTCACACTTAGCTCCTTTCTTGCATGGTTCTCTTTACATTTTTCTGCTCTTAGTTCTTTTCCATCTAGTTCTTCCCCATCTAGTTCTTTGCATCATAGTTCCCCAATCTAGTTCTCTCAAGTCTCTTGAGGTTTACAGTTCTATACCCATGCAATCAGCAATGCTCTGGCCAAAGAAAGGTCACACAGCTTGAATTCTTACAGGGTCAAAAGGAGGGGTAAATAGTAAGTCTCAGCTATCATTAGCAACCCAAAGGGGGAATGACTACTGGGGAACAGAATCAACTGAGGGCTAAATTCGGTTAATAGATCAGAGAAAAGGTATTTATGTGCTCAAACTATATTCTTAGAAGTGGTTAGTTAAAATGTGAAGAGTCTAAGTCACTAAGTTTTGAGTGAAAATAAAACTATCTCCCCCCCCCCCCCCCCTTTGGAGCTGTATCTGTCTCAGCCTAATCTTGGCTGTGCTGTTTTCTGGCAGGGCGGGGGTAGCTAGCAGCCTGTGTCACAGCTTGCTGTACCTGGGATGTAAAAGCCCTTTTGTTCTGAGCTAATTGTTAAAGGGGAGGCTAGAGATACCATTTGGGCTATGGGAGAAAAGAGGGTTTAAGCTTAATTTGCACAAGAAACAAAGCTTGTCCTAACAAGGTGGTTGTCTCCCTATGGATATTTACCTTAATTCAGGAGACTAGTAGGTGGTTTGGATGCTTATCTGCAGTCTGTCCTTAGATATTTGAGAGGTATCTCAGATAAAATGCTTTTGTCTGGAGATGGCCCTGGCCCTGGATACTTGCTAAAGGAGATATCTGATTTTAATGCTAAAAAGGGGAGATAAAAGCCTGGAAAAAAGAAGTCTTGCCCGTGTGACTGTTGTCAACATAGTTGGGGGAAGTTATCCAAATACTTTAATTGTATAGGGAAAAACTGTGCCCAATGAATGATCAATCACACTGTTAGAAGTTCTTAGGAAAAGAATCAAATGGGAAAGCTATAACAGCATACATGAAATTCATAGCAGGAAATAGCTAATATTCAAAAGCCAGTATTACTAAGACTCCTTAAGTCTTGGCTTTATCCTCTGGAAAGTCCTTGGCTTCTTCCAGGTATAGCTTTGTCATAGTAAGCTGAATTCCTACTACAAATTTCTGTGTCCCACAGCAGTATGTAAAATAGGAAAAGGGCCAAGGATACATTTCTGAAATTCTAAAGCATGAGATAAAGATTAAAATTCCTTTAAACACAAACTGAAATATCAAATATTTTAGAAAACATATGCTATGTATCTGGAAGTCTTAAAAATCCACTTAATCTTAAAACATTGGTTAAGATTAATGTAATAACAATGGTAAAGTTGATCCTTAGCTGGAAGATGGAGATGAGGCTCTACTTGGCATCATCAGCATTGACTCTAGGTGCTACAACTTCCTTGGGATGAAGTCCATCCAGACTCATATGTGGCATTCCCAAAAACTGGCTTTAATTAGATATAACAGGGTACACTGCCTTTCAAGATTTAGGGGATGAAAAGTCCTAGATTGTTTTGTTTAAATATACCTCACCTTTACCTGCTATCTATAGAAACAATAGGGATGAGTTCAGTTTACTAGTTCACAAGAATTCAGCCTACAGCACCTCCTACAGTACCCAATGTCCCCTCAGAGATAGAGAATTAGTGGACAAATTATTGACAGAGATAGCACAATAACTTATTAAACATGTTGTCCAACCAACCATCAGCAAAACCAGTAACTCTGGGATCTTCATTATTCTAATGCCTAATACCTAGAACTATGAAGGGGATGAGAATGCTAAGCATAATAAATTTAAGTGTGTCAGTGATGCCAGACTCAAAATGGAGTGGTGGAAAAGATGAATAATAATAATAAATTGGGGTCACTTTCATGACCATGGGGATGAAATTATCTGATAGCGGGTTTTACATTTTTGTTTCAGTTACAGATAAAACACATGCATCCACAGACACAATATGCACTGGACATGACTGTTCTCCCTGAAGTGGAATACAGGACCTGGTTACATTTGTCATCGCCAACACCGCGATCAAACTCCTCAGTTACATTAAGTGCTAAGGTATAGATCACCTGACAAATACTTCACTTTGGCCATTAAGAAGACAGCGTGCGGAAGACCTGGGACACTTCTGATAATCGTCTCTAGGACTGAAGAACAACGTCTGAGAACTGGAGAAAGAGGCTGCCCGGGACCTGCAGGCTAAGCAAAGAAATCAGAGCACTTTCCTAAGTTCATAACAGTATTTAGCCAGGATTAAACATACAGTAATTTGAGCGTGTCTAGAAGAAACTAGTATTTTTTATAAAATATCTCTTACTTTTTTTCACACTACCTTTGCTGTGTAATTGGACAAATACTAAATTATCTTCCTAGTTCATCTAAGAATAGACTATACAAATAGGTTTTGTGCTGTTAGAAATTAGAAATTGTTATGTAATTAATATTTTGATAACACATGAAAGCAGTTATTCAAAATTTATCAAAGAAACATGTTGAAAGAAAAGACAACTGAGATGTATTTCTTGGTTAAACACTCTGCATCACTTCATTGATGCTGCTTTCTTGACCTGAAGGATGGTCTTCTCCATCCTCTTCACCTGATGTACAGTCTGCTGCATCCTTCAGGTCAATGACTGCATTCCTTTACAGAAGATCCCTCTGAATATGGGCCACATTTCTTGCCCTATGCTGAGGCACAGACCATGTTCTCAAAAAGATGCTTAGTAAGACTATTATCTAACCTCTTCAGATCTTCACAGCACACATTCTATGGCACTTTTCCACGTAGTGCTGCTTCTTTTATGGGACTAGGGGTCTTTATGTAGCTTCAAGTTCAGAATTTTATACTTCTTTGAAATGAAACGAAGTCAATTCTTTAAAACTGTTGTGATGGTTAATATGGACTGTTCTGCTCTAAATGTGGGTGAGTCCATTCTATGAACTGGAGTCCTGGGCTAAACACAAAGCCAGAGGAGCTGAGCAGCAGCATTCATCTCTCTCTGCTTCTGACTGGATGTGATGGAAACAGCCACTTCCCATTCCTGTTGCCATATATTCCCCATCATGTTGGACTGTACCCACAAACCATGAGCCAAAGTAAACCCACATCCCCAGCCTCCTTTCCTTCCTTCTTCTCTTCCCTCCCTACTACCTTCTTTTCTCCTTCCTTCTTTCCCTCCCTTTGTCCTTTTGCTAAGTTGCCTTTATTAGGTATTTTGTTCTAGCAACAATACAATTCACTAATACAAATTTTTCTCACCAGAAAAATAGTTAAAGGAAAAATGTTAAAGTGATCTAATGGTCACCTTGCCACCAGGAGGTGGTGGTGCATGCCTTTAATCCCAACACTCAGGAGGCAGAGGCAGGTAGATCTCTATGAGTTCGAGGCTAGCCTGGTCTACAGAGCAAGTTTCGGAACAACCAGCACTACAAAAAGAAATTCTGTCTTGAAAAAAAAAAATAGTCACCTTGCCACCTGCTCAGAAATCTTGAGAACAACTCTCATTTTTTTCTTCTATTTTATGTTGTTTGTTATATTTTGAGACTGGACCTCTCACTATGCAGCCCAGGCTGGCCTCAAACTCTCAATCCTCTCACCTTTGCTATTTCAGAGCTAGAATTATAGGTGTGGGCCCCTTCACTCATCATTTTTACTAGGGTTTCCCTATACAATCAGATATTAAACAGAAGTCTAGAGACAATCCCTGAGATTATACTTGTTAGGTTAAAAATGAAAGGAAAACTGTATGAGAAAGAGGCCTGTGAATGAGGAATAGATCTGAGGCCAGTGCTGCCTTTCTGGAATGTCCCCATGAAAACTGACCAAGTTATAACATGTGGATAAAAATTGCATTATGGGAAAAACAGGATGTATAGTTGGATTAGAGATCTAGCTACCAAGGAATCTATTATTTTGTGATCTACCTGTGGTTTAGTTAATTCTTAGCACAGTTATCAAAGAAATCCTTTGAAGTACCCAAGGACGGAAGCCCTGCCCTTGTCTCCCCTGTGATGTTCTCATCTGTGATATTCTCCCCTCCTACCCACAGACCAGTCACACTCATCCCCTTGTGTTCCTGTGGGTGTCTTCATCAATCGTTCCCTTTGTTGAAACAAGCGGTCTCCACGGGTCATCTTCAGTTCTTCTTTTCGTAAGGCCTGCTCTGACCCTTTCACATAAATTGTCATCACCTCTACCCTGTTCTATTACCCTTAAAGCATTCTCCACTATACTATCCAGTCTTCTTATGGTATATGCTTCACCCTTTAAAATATATCCTTTGGGACAGGAGTTATTTTTCCATAAAGACATTCCCCCAGCTCCATGCATTGTACTGGATGTGCTATAAAAACTCTGCAGAAAGAAGCCTAGAGTGCATATTAAATAAGCATTCAACCTTCTGAGCAACTTGGATGGATGCTGACATGAAAGACTGACCTCAACCAGCCTGAGTTAATCATCAAGTATGATTCTGCGAGAGGATAGTTTTAAGACATTATAAAGGCCTGGAAAATGATATGATAAACAATCTGCAGAGCTCCCCAAGGAAAGGCCATTTTTCTTATTTTCATTGTTCATATACCATGTAAGGCTGTAAATAAGGGAGAAGCTAATACCTCTAGTTTTAGGAATGTGTATTGGATAGACCTATCTGGAAAACCTGTGCTGAAATATGAGCTGTGCACAAGGAAACTAGGTTATGTGTGCTTAGTGCCAATACCAAGGGGCACTGCCTAATGAATACATGTCACTTTGAAAGGATTCCTGGGTAGGCTGTACAAGGTTCTAGTGCTAATGCTTACAAAAGACATCATTATTTCCAAGCTAAATCAAGCAGATGGTGGCTGACAAAAGGCTCCATATAAAATAGATGGCAAGAGCTAAAAGGAATATGATAGTTGGAGTGTGAACCTGAGAATACAGAATGTCAAGAGAGAAGTGAGGAGTCCTACTCTCGAACTCAAAGGTATGAGTAATGGATTATGGTATTTGTAAACTGTTAACTCGGTAGGTACATACACTATAAAAAGGTAGTGGACTCACATGCAGCCATATGGAACAAGAACAGGGGCATCTCACACAAGAAGGATCTAATCCAAATCTGAACATCTCCTTTATGAAGGAGAACTGATTATTCTTTGGACTAAATGACTAGATGCTCTCTGTGCCACTCCAAGGAACAGGAGGAATAGTCAATCTTCCACTTTTAGCATATAGCAGAGTTTGATTTCATATGGGAAATGGTTTAATTGGTTTTATTAAAAAGAACTCCAGTTCTGAGTTTGCCCAAGGTGAGATGGCACTTGATGTTATCAATCAGATCCAAATATGTAACATGCATGAGAATTAGGCACCTTTAATACTTCTAACCTGAGAGTTTTAGGATTTAAAAAAATTTTTAAATAAGTTTTTACAAATCAATACTTTCATGATTTGATAATAATATTGCTATAAAGATGGATTTAAAATAATTTCAATAAAAAGAATTAAGAATGCTAATTACAGGTACACATATAGTCAAACACATTAAAAGAAACTTGTTAGCATCTCAGTGTGGGAGATAAGGGGCAGAACTACTTACCTGAATTGGACAAAAATTCAGATATTCAGTAACAACTTCTAGTAAGAAGTCAGGATTGAGCTTTTCAAAATACTGTATTCCAAGAGGTAAATCTTCTAAGTGTGAAAAGTGAGTATTCACAGCATCATTTAACAGATTTATAACTTCTTCCTGTCGACTATTTTTTTTTGTAGCAAGAACTGCATGCAAATACATTAATTCCTGAAAAATAAGTAGATTTCATAGGTTATTCCATTTGGCTATAAAGTCGTTTATTTCTGTTTAGATTTCAAATGCATATAAAGTATTATTTATAAGAAATTATTCAAACCTTTCATAGGAAATCATTCAAACTTAAGTATTAGCTGAATGGAATTTTAGGCTTATTGAGAAAAACATTTAAAGTCGACTTGCACAGAGGTAAACTAACAAATGCAATTACACATTAAAGGTAGAGCTCATTCACCATTCAGAGCTAAGGATGAACCGTCATTTAGTTTCATGTTTATAATAGCAGCTGTGGTCTGCCATCTGATAAAATGTCATACCGCAGATTTGCCCATTGACTGCTGGAATTCACTGAAGAACTCTAGCTGCTGGTCTGCATCTTGCAATTGCCCTTCTATTAACTGACATCGGATGAGTCCTGAAATCAAAAATAATCAAGGTTTATTCCAACCAACGAAACTAGGTTAAAAAACAATTTTCTTCCTTCACAACAATCCTGTTTGAGACTGAAAAAACTAAAATAAGCAAGTCAGTAGCCAGGGACTATGTAAAATCTTTCACTGAACAATTCATAACTTGACAGAAGCAACCAAATAAAATCATTCTTTCAAGGTAGCATTTGCGAAGTCAATTGTTATTTTTAAAGATACATGACTTTTCCTCTTGTGTATAGCAGAAAGTTTAATTAAAAGAGTATATATATAGATACCTACATATCTATATATCTATATATCTATATATATCTGCTTCAGTGGGCTGGTTCTCAAAGCAGGTTTCCCCTGGAGGAAGGAAGTCATCACTTCATCACTACATACCAGTAACTGCAGAGATGTTGCTTTCATTCAGTGTCATGGCAGTCCTGTACCATTTCCAGGCCTCCTTAACTTTGCCTTGGAGAATCATTTGGTAGCCGAGCTCTGTAGCAATTTCTGCTTGCTGGGGGGTTAAACTAAATGCTTTCTCTAGGAAACTTTGAACTTTTTGAAGAATGAGTTGATTACGTCCACACTGAAAAGAAAAGAAAACAAGGAAAAAACAAATGTAGACAAGAAGTCCAGCTTAGAAGACCTATTTTTCTCTATACTCATTTATAGATTGAGGTGCACAGGATGAAGGAAAGAGAATAAAGAATATCTAAGAAGGAAAAGGGTTTCCTACCATCTGGATACTGTATCAACAAGAGTGTATGGCCCATCACACGGTGTATATTTTAATAAATACTGTTTGACAACATCACCATCTTATATATCTTGCTGTATGAAAACAATGATTTCCATGATTCTTTTACAAATTAGATAGGAAAGTCTTTATTTTAAGGATTTTAAGGTTTTTAAATCTATGTGCACAATTAAATAAAAAAAAAAACCTTTCCCTTTGAAGACAACCTGTAGCAATAGGGAAAATATTTTAAAAGGGCATGGCTTACATCTTTTTAGAAAAAAATTTCACTAAAATTTTTTTATGTCAATGCTGTTAAATAACTATTGAACATACCAACTTTTAAGAATAAAATACTTCTCTGGATGTTCAATAAACTTAATTCTATAAGCATTCTAAAAAACAATGGAAATGTATATGGTATTAACACAAATAAAAAAGAAACATATTCATACTTTTAGATTTTTTTCTTTAAGTTTCATACATCCTACATGTTTTAAAATATGATAGTTTCTACAGTTTAGCAATTAATATTCTTAACTTCTTCTTTCAAGTTAGTTTGGTAATTCTTTATGTTTATTTTCTTCCATAGATTTTTGCTACTTCACTGAACTGTTCAAAGCTCTAGTTCCTTTCCTTGGCTTTGCAATTCGGCTCTATTTCCATGCCTATCACCTCACCTTTACAGAATGCCCCTAAAAGAAACATGCCTTTACTACAATAACAACAAAACCAAGACACTGGCCTTTTCCTCCAATGAAAAACTCTATAATTCACTTTAATAGATTTCCCCCAAAGGTTTTATAATAGAAAACAAAAGCACAGAGTATGAAAGGGCTACCCACCACCCCCACATTTTCCTGGAGTGCGCTTGAGTAGGAGCAGCAGGAAGCATTAATTAGAAGGATAGAGGGGAAAGAGACAGATAGAAAATACAAGATAGCCTCTAGAAGGCCTGGATCCTAATCCATTGGACCATGACTGTCCCTGCCCTAGGGTATTTATAGAAATGCCAAGGGGTGGAGCAAAAGACCTCTCCCTAGCACAGCCAAGTGGTCCATCTCAGACACCTTCACTCAGGCCCATGGTCCAATAATCTTCTCCATGCAGACCTGCTGGGTAAAGCCACTAGGAAACCTAAAAATGGGCTACAGCAACAGAGTACCCCAATCCCAAACACTGCACTCTGGCTTCCTCTGTCTGGAAGGCACTCTCTGTCTCCAAGAGTCCCCTGAAGTCTTGAAAGTAGTAGTTACAGTCTCCTGAGTCTCCTTTCCTGGGAATGGATAATACACTTAGATCATACTGATTTCACCCTAGACCATATGTTCCTCTGCTTCATCACTGACTGACTGCAAACTCTTAAAGATAGAGGTCTGGCATGCAGCAGTCTTACGGTTCTGCTGAAGGCCATTGTAATCTTATAAAAAAGTTGAGCATTCTGTGGTTCCACAATATCCAATGCATTTCCTAAATTTTCCAGCTTGGCAGCAGCCTAAAACAAAACAAACAATATTAATCTTAAAATAAACTAAGAAAAAAAGAATCTAATACACAAATAAATACTCTTATATACTGATTTTTTTACTGATATATTTTTAATGGTTTACTTTTATTTTACGTGTATATGTGAGTCCCTGCATGTATGTATACACACCATGTAAGTGTCTGATGCCTGCGGAAGCTAGAAGAGGGTGTTAGATCCCCTGGAACTGAGTAACAGATAGTTGTGAGCTGCCAGGGGGATGCTGGGAACTGAACCCAGCCTTCTGCAAGAGCAACAAGTGCCACTGAGCACAACAATACAAGAGCATCAGTCACCACTGAGCCATCTCTCCAGCCCTTTATTACTGATATTTAAGAGACCTTGGGTTTTTACTAATTTCTCCTTTTGTATGTGCATGTGTGTGCGTGTGCGTGTGTGTGTGTTGTGGTGTATGCATGAGCAAATGTTTGTGTGTGCATGAATTTGATGAACATATGTGTGTACAGAGGCCAGAGGTTGGCTATCTACTGTTCTCTTACTTTTGAGACAGGGTCTCTCACTGAATCTGGAGCTTATCAATTCTGCAAGACCAAACGCTAAGTGAGCTGCAGATGTCCTCCAGTTTTCTTCTCTCCAGTGCTAGCAATACAAGTATGTGCCAGCACGCTGACATTTTATGGGTGCAGGAGATCCAAAATCAAATTCTCATGTTTGTGTAGAAAGGACTCTATAAACTGAGTAGTTCCCCAGATCCCCCAGTGGAATCTCATATATTGTAGGATGACTTAAAATCTATCTGAAGCTCCAGTTTTTTTTAAAGCTCCAGGAATTACACATAATTATTTCTTGCAAATACCCATCATTAAGTAGAAGCCTCTGGATAGGTAAAGACAGCCATAGTTACTCAACAAATGTACAAACGGAGCTCTCTCTTCTGAGCTCTCTCTAACAATGAAGCCATTCCACAAAGGCTGTTTGAATAATATAGTTACAAAAATGTTACATGAACCTTTGAACTACACAGATAGCCTAGTTTATATTTGAAATGTTTTCTACAATAGAAAAATCAGGAAAGTGGTTAGGATAAGTAATTTCTGGTGTTGTTTCTGGGTTGTTTCTTTTGGTGCTGAGAACCAGCCTGGCACATGCTAGGCAAACATCTCTCCCCCTGAGCTATAGCCCTGGCTCCAAGTAACAAATGAAAAGTTGACAGAAGATTTGATCCACTAAGATTCTTCTAGTGTCTACTAAAGTGGTTGTTAAGTAGTCACATCAGCCAAGTTAAACACACAGACCTCTTGTAACATGATTGCTGCAGACTGCATTTTTGCACTCCTTTACCAGCATCTAGGGAATGTGTGCAATACTATCAAAACACGCATACCTTATCTTAATGATTTCATCCTGCACTCATCTAACTCATGCAAACTCAACTAAGTTGCAAACATATTATGAAATCTACTTTGTATATGTATGTTCATATCTGGATCACAGACAATGCTATGTACCAGAATTTTACATAAAAATACATATACTCTATTATCAACTTAAAATCATTTTTGAGAGAAATTTCCCTACATGTGTGCTTTACTAGTTGGTACAAGATGGTAAAGTCTTTGTAATGCTGTGTTTCTGGCAACTAATTAAAAATTATAATACAAATATTCTGAGATAGAACTTCAAGCTTCTAATGAATACGCACACATGCATTTATCAGGGTGTGTGAGGAAATTCATCGTGACAGGCGACTTCAGTCATGCACTACAATTTACCTTCTCTATGTCCCCCTCCCTACATAGATAATACAGAGCCAGCATTCTCAGCGCCTCCACATTGTGACTGTCCTGAAGCAGCAACCTGCAGGGAAACATGTCAGTTAATAATAAAATAACTGGAGTTGGGGTTTCTTTTTTTTTTTTTTGAGGGATTAAACATTTAGTGCCTTGACTTCTACTACTCAAATAAGTAGTTTTAACGATTATTTTTAGGTTAAAAATTTATATGGAAGTTAATTTTTGATGTTTTAAAATATGAATAGGGGCTATGCCTGATTCTAATACCATAGTAATGCTACATCAAATATTAGTTAACTATACACAACAGTGTATATAAAGTTGAGTTCAGGAGCTGGAGACAAGGTCAGTGGTTAAGAGCACTTGCTGCTCTTGCAGAGGACCTGGATTCAGTTCTAAGTTTCCAGTAGTCCCAGGGGATCTGACACTTTCATCTGGTCTCCGTGGGAAGCACATGCATGTGGAGCACTCACATACAAGCAGGAAAAACCTTCATACACACAAAGTAAAAATAAATAAACAAAAATTTTAAGATGGTGAATTTACCTCAAGCAGGTTTTTATTAAAGGGATTCTAACAATGCCAAAAAGAGTGAAATATTTAAATATGTGCGAATATTATCCATAAATTTTAAATAGGTTCCTATGTGATAAAACACAACTTGGAAAATATTATGAAGACATTTATTAATCATGAGAAAAAACAAAAGGCATAAATATAGCAAGAACTGTTCTATGCTATAAGAATTCTTAGGAAACTTTACTAAAAGGAATTATAAAGTAACTGTTCAGAAGGACTCACCTACAAGCCCTTGCATGAGTGTATTAAATAATGAATTTCTGGCTCACTTTTTCTCCTTTTGAATATGTCTTCTGCTACGCTACTGTACAGTTCCTTCCTGCAGAAGTTGGTGTGCTCTATGGCACTGTGACTACAGACTGGGGTCTTGGCCTTGCACTGGCCAATGGGATGACAGCAGGAGAGCCAGCCAGCCCTGCTTACTCTGCACGGGCAGTCTGGATTTTGTCTCTGCTCTCAGGTCTTTGCTATCACCAGGAGAAATGTTTCATCTGTGCTGTTATGGCTGGTTACTGAGGTCTGGAACTTGATGCAGAGTCCAAGCAATCAAATCCCTCCCGACATCAGTCGATGCAGATCACTGATACCCAAACAAGAAACCGATGTAGACTGTTTTACTCCTTGAGATGTGCAGTTGCTTATTTTACACCAGTTGCTGTCTGGTGTGATATTGCTCAGCTTGGGTTAAAAGTTTCCCCCTAAATAACCTATATGTACTGCTTGATAAAACACTTAACAGGTTCGTACCTTAGTTCAGCTGCAAAGTGGGGATGACTCCGTCTCAGGTATAAGCCACCTTCCCATCAGCCAGGCCCTCTGAGCACTTTAAACATGGCATCTATAACTTACTTTCACTCACAATGTTCAGACCAAACAGCCTGGGGTCATCTTCCCCCAGTCTCTTGCCTTCCTAGCTAAAATATATCTAAATCCCAGTCACTTCTCAAAGCACCTTAAGCATAACTGTCCTGATTCCCTGACCAGTACTTCTCTTTCAGATTATGGCAGTGGCAGGAAAATGGTCCCTCTGCTTTTGCCCTCGCACCTTTCCCCACACAGTTCTCAAATCAGCAATGATTCCATTAAATGCTGCGTGGTATTTTGTGTTCTGATAAATAAAGCTTGCTTAGAGTCAGAGGGCGGAGCTAGCCACTAGATAACCATAGAGGTCTGGAGGTCAGTGCAGAGAGGAAACAGGAAGTGATAAGGTGGGGCCAAGACAGGATCTTGCTCCTTTTGGACTGGAGAAACTGAAGAAAAAGTGACTGTGGCTGCTCTCCTGCTTCTCTGATCTTTCAGCTTTTATCCTGGTTTTTATTGTTAAGATTAAATTTATGCTTCATTTGGTGCCTAACGATACTTCTTTATTCAAAACACTAACAACTTTGCATGTCAGAAGAAATATCAAACTCTGGCCTACAAGATCCTTCATTACTCAGCACCCGCTCCCTCCCCATTACCTTTTCACTGGTTTTGCCTTAACTCCACTCTGTACCTCAAACAGATGAAAGCTATGGCTTTCTCTCAGATACTTGCGTGGCTTGCTTCCATGAACTTCTCCAGGTTTTTGCTCAGATGCCATTCTTCAGTGAGGCTTTCCACCACCACCTCCAACTCCTACCCCCAGCATGTCATACTTGACTATTTTTCCCTCCCTAGCACCTATGTTTAATTACTACATAATTATGTTGCTTAGCATATGATTCGTCTCACCTTACTATTACCTTCCTAATGGCAGAGAGACTTGTTCACTAAAGGAGTGTCTATCTTAAAATAGGTACTCAGCGATTGATGTGAATAAACAAATTCAGGGGGTTTGCATAAGTATGTGCTCCGTGCTATGTATGTGTTAGCATAAACATATGGGCCTGCATATGTGCACATGCATGTGGAAGCCCCGGGCACCCTTCACCTTCCGTTTTGAGGCAGTGTCTATTCCTCCCACACAGTGGGACAAAACACCCACCCAGACTTCAGGTCCATCAGACTTGACAGCAGCACATTAACCACTGAGTCAGCTCTCCAGCCCCAACTCCATCTTTAAAAGCAACACTATTTGAAGTTTTTTTTTTTTCAACTCTAGGCTGCTTGGAATAAAATCACTGTATATTACTTGAAAAGTTAAATTTTATGCTGATTATGAAAGTCCTGTAATAGACAGAACAAAACCAGACTTTCCCCCCTCATGTATAACCAGATCCAAAGAGGCTGTGATAGCATCTTCCACGTAACCTCTGTGCTGTCTCCACCGTCTGGTCCCAATCCTGCAACGCCAGCTGTAATTTCATTTTCTTCTCAAAAGCAGGGAGGAAGCTGGGAAAGTTCACAATTATCTGGCTCACGGTCTCCAGGGCTCCTGAGTAATTCTGGCGCATTTCAAGGCACAGTACCTAATGGGGTGAGAAAACTGACATTGAAACTATGGCCTTGTACATCAGACCTTCTCAGGCCAGCCTGGGCTACAGAGCAAGTTCCAGATTAGTCTGGGCTATGGCAGAATACTGCTGCTATTTTTTTTCTGAGTTTTTATCAAAATCACATCTTAAAATATCATAGAAATTAACACACATTACCTCAGCAATTTTGCTCTAAAATAGACTCTTAATATACTACTTAACCTGATAACAGGATAAAATTAAAATAATACGCAGAAGTACTTAGGAAGCTGAGGCAGGAAGATGGCCCACATTTAAGTAAGGTCAGTCTGTCTTCTACACGCTGAGTACAGGCTAGCCTGGGATGTGGTACAGAATAAGGCCCTGTCTCAAAATTCAAACAAGTAAAAGTTCATTTAGAAACATAAAGAATATTGCCACTTAGAATGAGAAAATTACCTTTATAGAATTAGGAGATTTTTAAATAGTATATAAAGCTAAAGAGATTTTACAGATTTTTACCCTGTATTTGAAAATGCTAGTTTCAGGGTAGAAAATAAGCAAAATAAGGTTCCAACAACACTTCAATTCTAGGAATTCTCTTAAGGAAGTACTGAAAGACAGCATAAAGGGGCACGCCCCATGATGGTTACTGCCTGATGGTTAGTGTATAAGAGAAAAGAAAAAATTACCCACATGTCCATAAATGAGTCACTAAAGAAGAGGTCACTGACTGAACAGAAGTGTAGGTGGACTTGGAAGGACTGCAGAAGTGTGCAACTTCCATTTACTGTCACAAAGAACACGTCCTATATGACAGCTGGCCTGTTTAACAGTGGTAGTTATTCTCTTACTCAAATGTCACTATGCTGCCTGGAAACATCTTTACAGTGTCTGTGTATTAGACACATTGTTTCTCCCAGAGGAGAATAACCTGTAAGTGTAATTAGTGTACTGAAAATGCATGGAGAGGCTGCAAGATGACTCACAGAGTGAGGCATCTGCCACCTCACCTGATGACCTCAGGGAGTTCAATGTCCAGAACTCACATGGTAGGAGAGGACTGACTCCTGCAAGTTGTTCTAGGCATGTACAAGCACAAACTCACACTAAATAAATAATGTACATTCATAAATCATATTTTCCCTTTTAATTTTTCTTCTAGATTATCTTTAAATTTTATCTTAGTATATCTCAATTAAAAATTAATATTTTGCTCAATATTTAATATAAAAGTGCAATATGTATTTATATGTATATAATTCCATATAGTTATAGGAAAGTATAGTTACTCAGAAATCCATTATATCAAAATAAAATATTTAAATTTCCAAATAATTGACAATAATAGAAGATTAGGATAGATTTTAGTACACATTTTCTCTTGGAATCTACCTACATAGCTAATACTGAAAATAAGAAAGCCCTGTCACAAAGAGCTGATGTGTTAACATCTGTACTCTTCCTTAGACCAGCCCCTCCCACAGGAACACGAAGCAGCATCTTCAGTCACTCCTATCTGGAATATTAATGAGTCCCTTCTGCTGAATTAATTGAAAAGTACGTATATAATTACAATGGATCTTCTGGAGCTTCAATTTTTTTTGTCTCTTCCAAAATCGACATTGAAACCTAATTCCCCAAGCAACAGTGCTGGGAGGTGGGGCCTGACCAGAGGTAGTCATCATGAAAATGAAAGAGGGGCGATGGAGTCCACTCTTCTGGTCTTCTGCCATGTAGGGGACAACTTCTCCATTAGGAAAGACTGTTCAAAGGACCATCCTGTAGGGCGCAGGCTCTTACCAGATACCACACTTGCTAGTGCCGTGATTTCAGACTTCTTGCATTAGCATTGTAGAAATGAATTTCTGTTCCTTTTAAAGCACCTAGTCTCAGACGTCTTTGTTTTAGTCTCCTTTCATTTTGAGGGGTTCTGAAAGAGTTTTTCTATGCAGCCTAGACTGATCTTGAACTCTGAGTTCAAGGACTGATGACAGTCCTCTGAGTTACAGGATTACAGATGTAAGTCAATATGCCTATTATGTTTCAGGCGTTTTTGTTGAAACAACACAAGACAGACTAGACCACAGTAATTTGGAGAAATCATTTAAACCAATTATGAGTATCACATCACGGTAAAAGGTAAACCCCTCTAAAGTCCTTCATATTAACACCTCAACTAGCCTAACCCTGGAAGATCACAAACTCACTTCCCTTTAAAGAATAGAGAGCAGCAAGATCATTCAAAACCAAACCAAAACAAAACAAACTTGAAAAACTTGCCAACCCAACTCCTGTAACAGCACAATGAGAAAGATCCTGACTCTAATCACCCTGAATACTTGTTGTGTGGGTTGATTAAAACGTGAACAAACTCATCCACGGAAGCTGGCCAAGAGACCATGGGGATACTAACAAGAAATAAACATTAGTCCTCACCTCTTTCTCTTGTTTATCATAAATAATAAAGACTTCTGAACATACATTATTTAGACAGTCTCATTACATAACCTATGCTGGTTTTGATCCTTCTGCCTCTGCTTTGCAATTGCTCAGATTACCAGAGTGTATCACCATGCCCAGTTTAAATGTATTGACTTATTTAGTCTCAACTAAAAAAACCTGAAAGACACTTAGGACTGTATCTCAGTGGTAGAGCACTTGTTTAGCCCTGGGATTGTAAGAGGCCCCCAGCACTGCTAAAATAATAGTATTTTTTAAGATGTATTTTTTTTTTTTTTTTTTTTTTGTGGTTTTTCGAGACAGGGTTTCTCTGTGTAGCTTTGCGCCTTTCCTGGATCTCGCTCTGTAGACCAGGCTGGCCTTGAACTCACAAAGATCCTCCTGCCTCTGCCTCCCGAGTGCTGGGATTAAAGGCGTGCGCCACCACCGCCCGGCCAAGATGTATTTTTAACTGTGTATATGTGAATGTCTTTGTATGAGTGTGTACACATGAACAGTGCTGCCTCTGGAGGCCAGAAAAGTGCACTCGATCCCTTGGAGTGGAAGTCTCGGGGAGTCTCCTGACATGGGTGCTGGGCACAGAACTCAGAGCCTCTGCAAGAGGTCTTAAGCACTGAGCCCCTAAAATGGCAATGAAAACAATTAATTTTCTTTACTGTGGAGTTTGAGTGCAGGTACGCATGGACCACAGCACATGTGTAGAAGTCAGAGGACAAATTTAAGAGTCAATTCTCTCCTTTTGTATGGTTAAGGCATGGTCTCTCATATTGTCTTTGCCCACCCTTGTACACCAGGGGAACTACCTACAAGCTTCTGAGTGATTCTCCTGGCTCCACCCCACTCCTCCCTTATCTTGCCAGAGAGTGCTGGGATTATAGATCTCAGTCACTGCATCCAAACTTTTTGTGGTTTTAGGGGATCAACTTCACACTCTTACATTTTCATGGAAAGCATTTTTATCTACTATCTTACCAGTCCCAATAATTTATATTTTATTTATTTATCCTGTGTGTGGCTGCGGGTGTGTGCAAGGACACACAGATGGAGGGCAGAGGACATTCAGGGTCCGCTGGATCCTCCCTTCCTATGTGTGGGTTTTGGAGACCACACTCAGGTTTTCAGACTTCGTAGCAAGTCCTTTTACCCTGAGCCATCTCACTGCAGCCCATAGACAAGTTTTGAAAGGTGGTCAGAAGATGTTAGTGGAGACAGATGAAAGGAAGGAACTTTAAAAAAAAAATCATTCTTATTTCACGTGCATTGGTGTTTTGCCTGCATATGTATCTGTGTGAGGGTGTGGGTGCTGGGAATTGAACCTGGGTCCTCTGGAAGAGCAGTATGTGCTCTTAACCACTGAGCCATCCCTTCAGCCTGAAACGATATAACTTAAATAGTCCAACCCAACAGTGATTTTTTAAAAGATTTGTCAACTGTTTATCCTCAAAATGCAAATCAAGGGCAAAACTATTCAAGCTTTGCACTAGCTACTTCCCAAATATAAATTCAAATCCAAAGCGAGACCCGTTAGGTCACCTCTCTTCATCACCCTGACTTTAGGTCCATGCCCCCTTTTTTCCTCTAGCCTTTAACTTCTCACTCATTCTCCTCCAACTGCCTGGATTTCTCACTATGCCCTGAATGTGCCTTAAGGTATCTGAATCTACCACGCCTTATTTTTAATGTTTTCTGCACCATGCTATCAGGGCTGTAGGGCATTGGAATGAGGATTGTGAAAATCTTAAATACTATTGATTCAAAGCATACGCTGATAGTGCAGCTATCTCAGATGATCACAGACATGCTTCAATTGGAATTTCCTTCAGTATCTTTCAGAATAAAAGAACAAACATACAAGTGTTATGTAGCCCTCATTTCTATAATAAGTCTTTGTTCAAAAGTCAAATGTACTGACTACCTCATTTCCTACTGCAAATTTGTGCCTCAGCGCCCATCTCCCATCCCTCTCTTATTTTTGACTGCACATCCTGCCAACTATCTAGTCCTACCCTAGGTAATTAATTTACCCATTTTACTCACTGTTCATCTCTCTAGTAGAAGAGAAGACCCACAACATGAGGTGTTTACCTTTTCCATGCTATGCTTCTTCTCCGGTGATGCCTCACACATATTAGATGTAAGGAAACACTGTGCAGGAATGAATTAAAGAACCAACCACAACAGACATAACTCTGATCCAGAAATCAGGCCCTTTGGTAGAGAAGTCATTCTCTACTGTGTCCTCCCTAGATAGATGCAAGTCCCTCTAAGAGTTGAAGACAGAATCACAGGTATTATCTTTTGTGACCTACTTAGTTTGATTAGATTTCAAGTGTTCTAAATTTTAAAACACTTGATGAATTCACTTTGATTCCAACTCACCTTACCCAGCAGAGCAAAAATATCATTTCCATCTTGTAATCCCTCCTCAAAATACCTTAGTGCTTTTTTAGCATAAGGTTCTTTCCCTCTTGTAATATCAAGCCACGCTTTCAAAATTGGTCCCTGGAAAAGAAAGTTACTACTCAAGTCAATATGAATATCAAGAAGTTGGTCAGCAATTGTCTTACTGCTGAAATGAATATTCTTCTCTGAGCCTTTGATGGTAAATGACCACCATGATAATAGCATCATAATAGCTACCATGTGGCTCATTCTGTGAGAATGTGTTGCCTCTCTTTGCATACAACCCCAATGACCTAAGGTGAGGAATAGAGATGATACCTTACTTCACGCATGATAAAGACCAAGATAAGTGCACAGCTACCTTGACAAGCTCTGCAACAGTCTAGTTAATTAGAAAAATCCTGGGAAATGAAGAACTGAAATCATGGATATTTCCAATGGATTGGAAAGTCTGTATGATTGCAAAGAAGATGATTTCTTTTTAAAATCAAATAAGAAATAGGGTATGTTCTCCTTTCTATGCTTTTTAGATTAACTTATAGGCATTTTAGAAAGGTTATACTTGCCTCCTGAAAATATGGGTGAGACTATCAACCAGTACCCCTTCAACTAAGGAGACACTTTACCATCTGAATGGGTTTCAAAGGCTACTTCTGTGGGGTAACTGACAAACTCTAGTTCTAGCCCTAAACCTTCAGCTTCCTTCCTTTTAAAGCTCATCTGCTCTTCTGTTAGCCAGCACTTGAAACCCAGCACGTGTGAAGACAAACATGTCACTGCCCTCTACTGTTGGTGACTTCACTCAACACTTTCTCCTCATGGAAAGAGATCTCACTAGATTTGGGGACACTGAGGCACCCCTTGAGCTTATGCCTCATTATCTTTTTTCATTTTGTGTATCAGCTGAACAAATCTTGGTGGGTCTTCAACATATTTTATTTGTACTTCCTCTAGTCCCTCAAAACTATCTGCCAGAATATACTTTTTGCAAATTTTAGTTTCTGTCTAAATCAGTTCAGCCTATAAACTATTTTCTTGATCTGTACTATAATAATGTAACTTCAAAGCCTTTAAGGATTTCTTAATGCCTATCAAAATATCTATAGATACTTGTACCTAGCAATCATGATTCTTCTATTTCTACGGTTTTCTCTTACCATTTTCACTATGTACCTCGTGTTCCCTCAAATGTAAGGTTCTCAAGGTAAGCAGATCTGATGTGTCTTCATCTCTACCTAGCATTTCCAACCTGGGGTAACTACTCCCCTTTTCTTGATTTACTGATGAAATTGGTTGGGGGTGGGGGGACTTGGGGACTTGTTTTCTTGGTTGTAGCTGAAATGCTATTTCCTTTCTAAACATTTTCCCTCAATCACTTACCCTTACAGATGTGAAGTGATTGAGGGAAAATGTTTATCAAAGTCATGGCTTGTACAAAATAGGCCGCTGTCTTCCTGCACACTTTAATCACAGCTCTTCTCATCATTTCAAAGGCTTCTCGGGAGATAGAGTAGGCATGTGCTCTATGCTGATTTACCCAAGAAAATGAAGCCTGTGCTCTCTTTATGCTTGGATTACTAATGGCACACATCCGGGTGTCTTATAGCAGACATGTTCAACGAGAGGGAAGGAAGGGGAATAAGAAGGAAAGAGAAGGAAGCAGAATACAGATCTATTCCAAAGTGACTAGTACAGAAACAAGAAACCCCAGTCCAGCCATATTATTTATGAATATTTCATATACAGTAAGGATATTTGTAAGTTAAAGCTAGCAAATAAGCTCATGAAACAAGGAATAAGCAACCTTTGAAAGGTCCTATTCTGCAATAAAGAATATTAAAAGAAAGTTATTTATTGAGAACAGAGTGGTTATAACAAAGGAGTAAACAAAGGATACTACTACATAATATCACAACCTTCCTTTAGTACTACTGTTTTAAAAAGAAAAGTGGTCACCTCATTGCTATCATGCGGCATTTTTGACATTCTGTCAATATATTCTCTCGCCTTATCATGGCGACCAATGTGCCATAAAAACAGGCCTGCGTGGTACAAGGCTTTGCATCCGGCTTCCTTACGTTGCTCCTTCATTTTGGTATCTAATTCCAGGATAGCTTCTCTATCTGTGAAGGGGAAATAATATTAAATCGAAATTAAATCCCAAATCGAGTGTTCATGATAGGTCAGATGACTAACCAGTTATTTATTCTCTCAAGGGCAGATCATTAAAAATAAATACACACTATACATGCCATCAAAATACTGCTAGTATTGCTGCTTCATTTAAGAAGAATGAGCAAGCCAAGCTATGGGGCGTAGCACCTGGGAGGCAGAGACAGGTGGATCTCTGTGAGTTTGAGGCTAGTGTGGTCTACAAAGAGAATTCCAGGATTGCCAAGGCTACACACAGAGAAACCCTGTCTCAAAACAAAAACAAAAACAAACAAACAAAAAACCCCAAAAATAATGAGCAAAATGAATCTTAATAATGCCTTATTTAACATAATACATACAAATTAGAAATACAAAATAGATACAAAGTTAGAGAGTTTGCTCTCTTTGAAATGGGCTTATTTTATACTTACACTACATTTAATTGAGGCTAAGTTTTCTTCAGAAAGAATATGTACATGCCATTAAACTTAGATTTGAAAGGCAGATCCATACACTCAATGTGGGCCATTTTCTTGATTAATCATTGATATGGGAGGGCCAAGCTAACTGTGTCTGGTGACAGTCCCGGATGCAGACAGAGCAAGCCATGAGGAGCAACCTCCCCTCCCAGCCACCATGGCCTCTGCATCCATAAATTTCCTAATAACTGGATCAGGTATCAGCTTAAAATTTAAAAAGTATATTAAAATTTGGGCTGGTAAGATGGCCCAGTGTGTCAAAGTGCTTGCAGCGTAAGCCTCGTATCCCAAGGTTGATCCCCAGATCCCATGTAAACAGCCTACATGTGACGGCACATGTTAATCTCAGAACTCCTGCAGCGAGATGGGAGGCAGATTGTGTTGGTTAGTTTTATGTCAACTTGACACTAACTAGAGTCATTTGGGAATCTCAGTTGAGAAAATGACCCTACAAGATTAGCCTGTGGGCCATTTTGTTGATTAATCATTGATATGGGAGGGCCAAGCTCACTGTGTCTGGTGCCAACCCTGGGCTGGTGGTCCTGGATGCAGCGGCAGCAAGCCAGTAAGGAGCACCCCACCCCCAACCTCACCCCCAGACTCCCAGCCACCAAGGCCTCTGCATCTTTTTTTTTTTTTCATTTTTCATTATTAAGAAATTTTCTACTCACTCTACATACCACCCACAGATCCCATCTCCTCCCTCCTCTCACTTCCAGCCCTCCCTCCCAAGCCACCCCATATCCCCACATCCCCCAAATCAAGGTTTCCCATGGGGAGTCAACAGGGCCTTTGCATCTTTTCCTACCTACAGGTTTTTGCTGATTTCCCTAGATAATGGTCTACAAACTGTAAGATGAAATAAACTCTTTTCTCCCAAAGTTGCTTTTGAAAATGTTTTATCATATCAACAAAAACCCTAACTATAACAGAAATTGATACCAGGTCCTGAGGTATTATTGTGACAGACCTGACCATGGCGTTTGGGGAAGTACTGTGCAAGGCCTTTGGAACTTTGAGCTGGAGAAGCCACTGAGTGCTCAGAGCTCCGTGGGCTGTTCTGTGGGAACTTAGAAAATAATGCTTAGAACAGCAAAGACGATGGAGGCCTGATTTGTGAAATTTCAGAGGGAAGTTAGAGTCCTTCAAAGACTGTCTCATGGCAGTTTGAGATTTTAAATAAAGAATCTGTGGTTCTGATAAACCTTTGCTTTGGGCAACTGATGCTGGTTTTGCTGGACCTGGGAAATTCGTGGTGATTAAGAAGAGACCAGCATGACTGAAGCAAGGTCTTCTGGGGAGTGTTTCCCTGGAGTCAGCACACAGAAAACTGTGGTCCAGTGGAGGCCACGGGTGTACCTCATGCTGACAGCTGAACGTGGCATTGTGTAACAGTCTCCCAGGTGGTAATGGTCTTGAAGGAATGAAAGGATCATGGAGAGAAGCTGAGGCTTGCCGCCATGTGGCAAGGTCAAAGTCCCTGAAGAGAGCCCAGGAGAGGCTATTGGTGAAGGTGCAGCTTAGTTGTGAAGACCCCAGGATTTCAGAGATACCAGGGCCATGGGATGACCACCAAGGGCAGCAGCAGGAGTGGATGAAGCTGGGCTGAGGCTGTTGGACAGGTGTAAGTGTTATGAGCAGCAGATCCAGAGAAGTGCAATGTCCAAGCCCTTTGGGGCCCAGAAGATCATGAGTCTTGAGGGAATCCCAGATACTGGACACTCAAGTTATATACACTGCTGACGTTTGGTTGTTCCCTCTTGAAGTAAGAAAGTAATTAACTTTTTTTTTTTTAAGTTCACAGGAATGCACAGTTATGAGACCTTGGATATTTATTTTAAAGTAACTTTAGAATTCTAGAGAGACACTGGAATTTGACAGACTTAGGAATTTTACAGACTTAATATTTTAGACACAATGAGTATTTTAAAGAGACTCAACTTTTAAGTGTTTGAATTTTTAAAGATCAAGGAACTTTTAAAAGTTGGAATGTTTTTGCACTGTGATAATATTAACATGTCATCTTCGGGACAAATGGAAAAGGAAAGTTTCTAGATGAATAGTGATGCATGTGTGCCAGATTGACAAGGGGCCAATTGTGCTAGCTAGTTTTTATGTCAGCTTGATCCTAGCTAAAGTCATTTGGGAGGAAAGAAACAACTGAGAAAATTCCCCCAACAGATTGCTCTGTGGGAAAGCCTGTGGGACGTTTTCTTGATTAATGATTGATGCAGGAGGGTCCAGCCCACTGCGGGTGGTGGTACCCCAAGGCAGGTGCTCATGGATGGCAAAAGAAAGCAGGCTGAACAATCCAGGAACAAGCCAATCAACAGCACTCCTTCATGACCTCTGCATCAATTTCTGTCCTGAGTTCGTGCCCTGATTTTCCTGGGTGCTGAACTACAATCTGTAAGACGAAATAAACCCTTTTCTCTCCAAGTTGGTTTTGGCCATGGTGTTTGGTCACAGCAATAGAAAACTAACCAAGACAAGGACAGAGGAAAATCACTTGGAAGCTTGTGGGTCAGCTAGCCTGGAGCTCCCAATGTGGCAGAAACAGGAGAAACCCTGCCTTAAAAGGTGGAGGGGAAAAAAGTTGAACATGCCATGGTATGTGTAAGCCCCCCCACACATGCCCCTTGCCTCAAAAACAGAGAGACACACATACAAGTAATAATATTTTTTTTAATTTAAGTAAATAAAAATTAAATAAAAAATTCTGCCACATGTTGGGGGATATTTTGTCATACTGTGAGCCCAAGTTTGTATTTGTGTTGATTAAATAAAATTACCTTTGGATCAGGAGGCTGAGTTACCCATGAGTTGACAGAAAGTAATCATGGAGCATTAGAGGGCAACAGGAGAGACAGTCGAAGTAGCAGAGATGGATTTGGAATGGGGCAGGTTTTTCTGGTTTGGCAAAGTGGAAGCATGGAGCTTTTGAAGATGCCAGAAAGGAGAGAAGGTTAGCGTTTTTTTAGCCTCTCTGAGCCAGCAGGTTTTCACCCCAGCATTGAATTTTTAAGTCTTATTTATAAATAGAACGACAGAGATACCTTTAGCGGCAGCGACAGAGCCAGTGCCCGAGGGAACAGAATTTTCCTCCAGGCTGTGGCCTGAGTGGCTGGGCTGCGACTAGAGAAGTAGGCAGGTAACTCTGGAGTCACAATTGCTGGCTGAAATAGCAGTAGATTAAGGCAGAGCCACTGTGCCGAAGATAAACCAACAGCCACACAATCAGATTAGCCACCTTTTGTGTTCAAAAGCCACACTCAGTTATATAGTACAGCTGAGTAGTGTATGCCATTCCCAAGATAGACAACTATTTTATAGTATTTTATTAATAAAATTTATAAAACAAAAGTAATCATTCCAAATCACCAGGGGTAGTGTCATGAATAGTGCCCAAACTACTTGACTCTGAAGTCCACTCCTGAAGCACATATGTATTGATCACTCACTATAACTCTTTCATATCTTTGAAACATCTAGCACACTCCTAACAGAAAGCACCTAACTGTTTACTTGTCAAGCAATGTTTTATTTATTTTGTTTTTGTAATCTGTGCATGTGTGCTTGGCATGAGATGTATGTGATAGGCTTCTTAAAATAAAAACAATGATTCTAATCCTTAAAAACTCATCCTATGTTATGCAGTTTAATAATTTGAAATATTTACAGTGCTATTGTTGCTGGACATACACACATACACATATATTTTTAAGTTACCTATGGCTTGGATTTTCTTCTGTCTGAGTTATAGGTTACACGACTCACCAGCACAATGCAACTCAACTTTAAAGACCAGTTTATGAACAAACTTTCCTTCCATAATAAAGCCATATGTCCCAACCACTATGCAGAACAATGTTCCTTCCATAATATAACCAAATGTCCCAACTACTACCCAATGAAAATTACAATGTTACCTTCTTAATTTAGCCATACATCCCAACTACTACCAAGAATAACATCCCTTCCATAATACAGCAATAAATCCCAACAACTATGCACAACAAAGTTCCTTCCATAATAGAGCCATATATCCCAACTATTACACAGAACAATGTTCCTTCCATAATATAGCCATAAATCAAAATGAACCAAATGTAGACAATCTATCCAAACACTGTACTTAAATACTATACCTGGATTGGGGCTCATTTTATGGACATACATTAGGGCAATCAGAGAACACAGGGACACATCTTGTTTATTTTTAATGGCCTCAAATTCCCGAAGGGCTTCTTGAGCTTTACCTGGAAATCAAGATTAGGGTGTGGGGGGAAAAGTATTCTTAGTTCAAATTGAGGATTCAGAGAATTTGAAAACAGTTGATGACTAGTGCGTACCTTCCATCAGTGTGCCATAGGCATGATAAAACCTGAAGACTGGATCACTGCCATACTTCTTCATTCCTTCACTGGCCACAAGCAACACGTGGTGATAGTATCTCTCTTGACAATAGTAATTAATGAGTGTCTAGAAGGAAATAATGGCTAAAGGTTAACAGTCTGTTATTTTGAAAGACATTCAGAAGCAGATCTAAAATATTGGATAATCCAGAACCTAATACATTTTCTTCTTTACTCTTTAGAATACTAACGAAAACTGACACATAACAGTAAGGATGAGACAGAATGGTCATGGAATGACTGACAACTCAGTGTTTTTCTCTTCTAATGTGATACCTTTTTTTCCCCTTTAATTAATTTTGTCAAGAACACTGGAGCTAGACTACTTTTACATTTTCCTCCTTTGGCTATATTTTCTTAAGGGTTTTAGGAAAAAAAGAAGAAAACATGTGGACCAAGAAAATGAAGAGACTTGGGCAGGTTAGCTGTTCCTGGTGTTTGTTGTTTTTCATATGGTTCGGTTTTGTCAGCTTGACACAAAGGGTGTCATCTGGGAAGACAGAACCTCAGGTGACAAAATGCTTCCATCAGATTGTAGGCAAGTCTGTGGGGGCATTTTCTTGATTAACAACTGATGTGGGAGGCCCAGCCCACTTTGGGCCTGCCACCCCTGGGCAAGTGGTGATGTATATATACACACACACACACACACATATACATATATATATGTATATATATATGTATATATGTATACACACATATATACATATACACACATATATACATTTATCTCTCTCTCTCTCTCTCTCTCTCTCTCTCTCTCTCTCTCTCTCTCTCTCTCTATCTATCTGAGTTAGCCATGAAAAGCAAACCAGTAAGCAGTGTTGCTCCACTTTGGTGGGTGAATGAGAATAGCCCCCATAGGCTCATATATTTGAATGGTTGGTGCCTAGTCAGTGAAACTGTTTGGGAAGGATAAGAAGACTTGGCCTTGTTGGAGGAGGTGTGACCTGGAGGCTTTGAGGTTTCAAAAGCCCATGGCAGTCCCTGTCTGTCTTTGTCCCTGCCTCTCTGTCTCTCTCTCTTCCTGCTGCTTGTGGGTCAGGACAGAAGCTCTCAGCTACTGTCATGCTCCTGGCCATGATGATCTTGGACTCTAACCCTCTGAATATATAAGCAAACCTTCAAAAAACTCTTCTATAAGTTGCCTTGTCATGGTGTCTCTTCACAGCAATAGAAGAGTAACTAAGACACCTGTCTTCGTTAAGGTTCTATTGCTGTGAAGAGACACCATGACCTTGGAAACTCTTATAAAGGAAAACATTTAATTGGGGTGGCTTACAGTTCAGAGGTTCAATCCATTATCATCATGGTGGGACATGGCAGCATGCAGGCAGACATGGTGCTGGAGAAGGAGCTGAGAGTATTACATCTCAATATGCAGGCAACAGGATATGAACTGGGATACTGGGCGTGCCTTGAGCATATTTGAGACCCCAAAGCCTGCCCCCCACAGTGACACATTTCCTCCAGCAAGACCACACCTACTCCAACAAAGCCACACCTCTCAGCAGTGTCATTCCCTAGGAGCTTTCGAGGACCAATTACATTCAAACTACACCACCATCCATGGTCTCTGCTTCAGTTCCTATCTCCAGATGCTTCCTTGAGTTCCTGCCCTAATAAAACACAATGACCAAAAGCCACTTAGGGAAGACAGAGTTTATTTCACCTTAGAGTTTGCAGGGAAGTCGGAGGGCTAGGAAGGAATGTGAATTACTGGCTCACTTTAGCCTGCTTTCTTATAGCACAGAGAACCACCAGCCCAGGGTGGTACCACCCACAGAGACAGAGAGAAGGGCCCTCGTACAACAATCATCAATCAAGAAAATTCCTTGTTGACTTGACTACAGGCAATCTGATAGATATATTTTCTCAATTGGGGTTTCTTATTCTCAGATGACCCTAGCTGTGTCAAGTTGTCACAGCCAGCACACAAGTTGGAACTGGTCTAAGGTTTCTTGGAACTGTATCTAAGGTTTAGCTGCTGACTTACTCAAAGAGGGAAGCCACACTCTCACCATTCCGGTGACTACCAGACTCCTTTACTCCATAAACAAAGGTGTGTGGGGAATCCTGTGCCACTGTCTGACCACAGTGGGGTCCAGCATGAGTAAGAAACTGAAAAGACATAGTGTGTGCAGACAGCTCTTTCACAGTCTGGATTCCGGAGGGCTACATCCTTGCCTTTTCTAGATCCCAGTCACACAATATTCTCTAGAACTTCTGCTCTGCTCCCCTCCTGTGGTTACTGCCCCACACCCCTTCTCCACCTTGTTTCTGGAGAGAATGCCCCATATTCCATTTCTTAGTCACCCCACAACACACCTCAGCAGTTTTGTTTTTTCCAAGTTTCTCAGGCCCTAGGGTCACAAATGAGCATTTGGGGTCACAATATTATTCTACTTGACTTTTACGCAGTGTTTAATTGCACTCACCAACCATAACTCTGAAAGGCAGTGCTGTGGTATCCCAGAGAGGACATGGATTTAACTATATAAAGACATGGCCTCGAGTCTTTGTCTATGTTACATTTTTGCTCATTTACAAACTATGGTTAGTAAAGCAAAAGACATGGGGTGAGGAGTACTTGAAGATGTCCTAGTCTGAAAAAACAGAATGAGTTCCACCACACTCTGCTGTCTGGTCAATACCTCTGCCAACCTCCAGGTTTATACTCTGCCACCTGCTACCCAAATCATCAAATGAATCATGACGTTCCCTTCCCATTCACCCAGTGCTGCTGAGCAAAGCAGTCTTTACGTGCATCTGTTTCTCTGGCTTTCATATTACTCCCCATACCTATTATGACTCTTGTGGTTCAAGTTAGACCATTTAGTCCAACAAACTTCATTTTGACTTTGAGACAGGATCTCATTATGTAACTCAGGCTGGCTCAGACTTGCTTTCTGCTTGCCTCTGTTTCCTGAGTGCTGAGAGTGGTCACATACCCCATGATCAGCATCTAGCAAGCATTTGCTGACTGTCTACTTTCTAGTACTGGGTACTATCTACTTTCTAGTACTACATACCAAGAAGAGAGTAATTATGCAGTACTGAGAAATGTTAGTAGGAGTGGTCACTGCTCTAAAAATATCTTGAACTTTCTGGTGAAATTGTAATCTGAACACCAGCTGAGATCCAATGCAGTAATTAATGTAGGAAAGTGGCTAGTACATTGCAATTGGAAATACAGAATACTATACACAGCTTGAGTGAGTGACCAGAGAACCCACTCCGACAGACCATTTTAGAACTGATTTTCCAATTATAAACCCATTATTCCTCCTTCTCCTACATTTAACCCCATGATTTGCCTTGATGGTTTTTCACAAAGGTCCAGGAGTTTACAAGGCAGAGGAACAGCAACAAGGAGGTAAGAGCACAGTACCTGGGATGGGTGTGGTGATGGGCAGGGCTAAAAGCCAGTCCTTAGTCTACAACAGTGGGCTAAGACATGTTTGGCTTCCCACTTGGTTTTGTATGGCCCATGAGCTAAAAATGGCTGCAGAAACATTTCATAGACAAATTCAGAGCTTATAAAGATTTATTGGCATATGGGGATGTTCATTCATTTAAGTACATCCACAGCTGATTCCCAACTATAGTGTAGATTGGACAGAGATCCTAAAATAGGCACCATCTGGCATTTTGTAGAGGATGTTTACCATTCCTTGTTCAAGAACCTGTTCTAGATAGAATATTGGACAGACAGATCAAGGTTTAAAAAGGGAGGCTGGGCCAATGGTCTCATTTTTAAGGATATGACTTGCTCCTGTGGTGAATGATGAAAATTTGAATAATGGTTTTATCATTTAAGTGATTTTACTGCACAACTCATTTGGACAACCTGAAGGATAGATTGGAGGTGATGAAAAATGTAAAAGCTGGAGGAAAAACTTGAACGGTAATGCAGAAATTTATTAAAAATAAAAAAAGCCAGCTGGGCAGTGGTGGTGCACGCCTTTAATCCCAGCACTCGGGAAACAGAGGCAGGCGGATCTCGGTGAGTTCGAGGCCAGCCTGGGCTACAGAGTGAGTTCCAGGAAAGGCGCAAAGCTACGCAGGAAAACTCTGTCTCAAAAAACCTAAATAAATAAATAAATAAATAAATAAATAAATAAATAAAGCCAAACATTCCAGTCTTCTCTAACCTTCAGAGCTCAGATTTTCCTCTGTGACTATCAGGAGCTAACATGGCATTCATGCTTTTATTAGCTCGTGGGTTCAGTCCTCATAAATCAAGTGTGAGTTGCAAGACCTGTCATGTTTACTGCAGTATCTTAAGTACTTAGAAAATAGTGCAAGACACACAGAAGGCTGTCAACCAATGCTTATTAAAGGCACTCGGGACTGTCCCAGCATTAGATTGCAAATGGGTCAGTTTAAAGTCCTGGGGTCTGTTCTGCTAGCTCCAACCTCTGGGAGACATCCAGGAAGAAGCGCTCCACAAATACTAAACAAGTCCAAGAATGAAAAGAGAAAAACCATCATCTGAAAAGGAAAGTTCTTGCATTTCCAAACCGTCTTTGTTTCACCGTTTCTGAAATATCTGCTGAATGCATCAATCAGAAGAACATTTCCGTAAGCTAAATACTCCTTCCTCTCTTTTTTAAGTCTGTTTTTAACTGCTTGCATATCTCGTCCTGCTCCTTTACACGCGAATGCAGAGAGTAGGACGGTAGGATGGCTGTTAAGTTCCCTCAAAATCACACCTGGAGACGAAGCAAGCTTCCCTAGTAGAAGTCCAATGCCAACACAAGCAACAGGCTGGGGGCTGGCCGTTAACGGCAAGGCAGCGGCTGTGCCCGGGCCTCGGGATCATCCTCAGGGGGCAGGAGTTGGCGGGGGGGTTGCAGCATCTTGGCCAAGGCCGCAGGCCCTCACCGCCAGCGGCCGCTACCCATGCCACCCGGGGCCAGGTACCAATCACCTCGCAGTGTCCACTCGCCCAGCCCACGCCCCGCACCGCTCACCTTCAGCCCCTGGGAGTCCATGGCCGCCAGCTGCCCGGAGCGTGCCCGCCACTGCCAGCCGTAGGCTCCGGGGCTCAGACCCTCTGCCCGGGCCCTCAAACCTTAAGGGACGCGGTGGGCGGTGCGGAGGGCGTGGCCGGGTCTCCATTGGCTGTCGGCCCCGAGGGGGCGGGGCCTGACCGCAGGGCAGCGAGGGAGGGGCCCCGGAGCAGGCTCGGAGGGAACCCAGAGGGAGGACCGCGAAGGCGACTGAGGTTGGACTCCGCTGGGCACTGAGTGCGGCAGAGTGATGGAGCCTCCGAAGGGAGGAGGGCCAGCCTGGAAAGGGCTCGAGGAGGAGGGGGTGGGTGGAGCTAGAGGTGTGAGATTAAAGAATAAAGATGATGAAGCAGGAAATGGGAAGAAGGGCAACGCTGCTTTCCATCCCTGCAAACAAAGGCAGACTCCATTTTCTCAGCATTTTTTTTTTTTGGGTGGGTGGGGGGAAGCGGATTTGCGCAATGCGGCTTAGCGGCGTGCTTGACTGGGGAAAATGATTTACCTGCCACTTGTAGTAATAGTGACGGGGCCACAAGGTGGCGCAGAAAAATCACAGTTTGGCAAAAAATGTGAAGCCTGGCTTGGGCCTGTTTTGAATCTTTGCAAGCACGGCTGTAATTTTGTTATCTGAGTGCTTATTAAACTGGTCCACCAGATTTCCACCGTAAAGTCTTACTTGAAATGTGTAGTTGCCTCTTTCAGACTTTTATTTCTTAGGGGTTTGCTATAATTTGCATATAAACTGTCCCTCCAAGACAGGTGTGCTGAATGCTTAATTCCCCAGTCTGTGGTGCTGCTGGAAGTGGTGGACCTTTGGTGGGAGGCTTAGTGAAAGAACTTTAGATGATTCTGGAGTGCCCTTGAAGAGGATATTGGGACCCTCGGCCTCTCAGTTTGCTTCCAGGCAGTCCCAAACTGACTGGGGTCTCCTCCACCATGGAGCTCCCACCATGGTAATCTCTGCCATCCCAGGCATGAAAGGAGGCTGACTCACCACAGTCCCCTACCCTCCTGGGCCTGTGAGGGCTTCTCTTCTCTAGAAGATGTTCACCAATGTATCCATTATGAGAGCCAACAAACTGACTAACATTGTCTGCAGACATGAACTTCTTTCTGCTTGTAGGCTATGTAAGAGCATTCTTTAGAGATGGGATAACTCCGACTCCCGGCTTTAAAATGAAGCAAGGTTTTCTACAGGCTTTTCCTTAAAGTACATTCATTACACCCAATAAGGCATATCTTGTCATCGTGGAATTGTTTCTAAAATTCATAGTCTAGGTAATTGCTGTGGCAATGAGCAGTTGATAGGTAATAGCTACTGATCTGGTTTCCAATCATGCAGCACAGAAAATCTCGGGCTAATAAAACCTTGGTGCTGTATAACGTGTGTCATCTTGAGATTACACACTTGAATCCAAGAGGGAAAGTCTATCTGAGGATCACAGTTATGGTGATAGATGAGCAGCCTGAAATGTTTAAACCCCAAATGACCTAAGACCAGTGGAAAGCTACACATGCAAGCAGAATGACTTAGCTCCTTGTCAAGTTCCTAACAGTAAATCATTTAGCACCCAACATTATTAGTTACTTGTGATGACTTGACAGTCCTCCATAAGCCCTTGTGCAGAGAATTCCTTTATGAGTCTATCTTTCTTGAAACATTGGTGTGTTCTCTAACACAAATATTTCTGCTGTTTCTCTACTATTAGCTACAAATGTCTGAGCATGGAAGCTAAGACTGCCTCCATGTCTTGTTCAACTATATCCTCAACTTCCCCCTCAGAAAGTCTTTACTCTGTGTCGAAGGGAGGATTCCTTTTTTTTGTAGAATGTGTTTTTCTCCTATGCCCCAAGCTATTTTTTCCACCTACCAAAATCTACTCTCTCTTTAGAGAGAGCTCTAATCCATTCTCTGTGAAACCTGTGAAGATCACCGTAAGTGGATGGGTTTGAGAGAGAATATGGGGGTGGGAGGATCTGGTCTCTAGGCCTGAGGTGGAGCTGATTTATGCTACTTAACTTCCGTGACTTGCAAAGTGATTTTTTGAGGGAGAAGTGGTATTAGGTTTATGGTAAGTATATTGATCTCATAAGCATTTAGTACATGCAATAGGATCAGCGTGTCCATTCAATCATGTCTGTTTTCTCTATGTCACTGTGCATCGGATTAAAAGAAAACATGGAGGAAATCTGAGTGGTCCTTGTGAAGACAGAACTAAAAGGGTCACAGACGAGAACTTAAACTATGCAAGGAGGATAAACGGAAATGACCTTATTTTTACGAAACCTGTTTGTATACAATCCTCTTCGCTATTGCTTCCGTTGGAAAAGTATGCATTTTCTTCCCACTTTATATTGGAATTGAATATCTTCCTATTTTTCTGCAAGAAGAGGAAAAATCTAGATATCAGATAAAATTAGAGAAAGATATCAGCTGTCCTGATATCTTAAGCTCAAAATTATTCTTGTGCCCGGTGGCATGCTATGGACCGGCACTCCCTGCTGTCCTTCCTGTCTCTTTGTGGCTTGCTGTTACAACTTGCTGGCCCTCAACACTTATTGTTTCACAAGTCTGAGCACTCTGCTTAGTAACACTTGGGTCAGGTGCTCCTCAAAGTATCCCTGTACCCCGATGCATGTGCTGTTCTCTAGTGTGTCCCTCAGATTCCCTCAGGATGAAAACCTCTCCATCCATGGAAGGCTAGGTCCATGTCCTTCAACAGCTGGTGCTCTCTTTCCTCTTCCATAAATGTGCACTGTTTCTTCCTTCAGACATAAGTCCTGGCTCCTCGTGTACAAAGCCCCCCTTTATCAGCCTGCCCACTGTCTAAGTGGCTGAGTGAAAACAGCCAAACATCCCTGTTCATGAGTCCATTTGCAACTGAATTTTAACAGTAGGGTTTTACCAACACCACCCCTCAAATTTTTGTTTCTAGAACTTTTAATCACATGGAAAATGAATACTCCTCTACTTATCATTAGAGAACATTTTAAAATGATGTTTTGTATTCTTCTAAATAGTCCCTGTTTTCATTGTTTCAAGTACACAATGAGACTAGGTGTATGTTTCTTCTGGTTGTTTTGCTTAATTTCAATGGAGACTTAAGCTATAAACCAGGATGCATGGAGCTTGCTATGTGGTCCAGACTGACTCTGAACTCTAAAACTTCCTTCTTCTCTCTCCCAAGTGATCAGCTTAGACAATTGGTATTTTTGTAGCAAGGCAGAAGCAAAAGCTTTTAGAATGGTGTTGCATAATAATGTAGCCACGTGAAGCATGAGGAATTTAATTAAAAAGAACAAAAAAAAATTCTTGTGGGGCTGAGGAGATGGCTCAGAGGTTAAGAGCACTGGCTACTTTTCCAGAGGACCTGGGTTCAATTTCCAGCACCCACATGACAGCTCAAAACTGTCTGTAACTCCAGTTGGACACCCTCACACAGATATACAATTAAAAAATTTTATTGTGTGTACATTACTTTTAAGACAGAGGGTTCATGCCCATTTAAAAACATAGTGAACGTTGTCTATTGATTTGTACATCATTTAAAATACGATGTACCAATATATTTACTTAAAATAGTGTTCATGTTTTTGGCCACTGGAGGACATTGTTGTCCCATGGGTAAGACAATACTGGGTATGAACAATGACTGTCAAGCTTGGGCTCAGATACTTAGCTATCAATCACTTGATATCCTAGGGGTGGGGAGGGGACTGATCAGAGTGTGAGGTAGTGGGTATAACCTGGTAGGCAAAGCATGTGTTTATAATACATTTCAAAGTATTGCTGATGTTTTCTGTTTGAGGATCACACCTCAAAAAAAAAAAAAAAACACAGCTTTTTTTGAAGTGTAGTCTTAGCCTCATATACTGACCAGCATTTCTCCATCATAAGATTATTTTGCTGGGCACACATACCAATGTAGTTGCCTTTTGTCTTGCATGAAAAGGTGGTGTGTATGTAGAAGTTTTTTTTATGTCAATAGTAAGAGAATATATAATAAAGTAACAATTTCTATACAGTTGAAGAGAATATGTATATGGATGAGGTACAGCAACATTATTTTGTGTGTGTGTGTGTATGTGTGTGTGTGTGTGTGTGTGTGTGTGTGTGTGTGCACATGTTCCAGAGTGCACATGAGGAGATCAGAGGACAAACTATGTAGAATGTATTTCAACCTTCTATCTTTGTGCGAGTAACAGGGACCACATGCAGGTCATTGCTTGCCTGGGAAGTTCCTTACCCACAGAACCATCTTGCTGACCACCAGAAATTTTAATGACTTCTAAAACTAATTCAGTTTTAGAACTTTAGTTCACAGCCAGATCCCCCGAATATGGGTACAATATGGGTACCAGAAACATTTTAAAGATTTGTCCCTGAATATGGAAGATGCTATAGTATAAATCATTCATTTTCAAATATTAAATCTAGACAACACTGCCGGGCGGTGGTGGCGCACGCCTTTAATCCCAGCACTCGGGAGGCAGAGCCAGGCGGATCTCTGTGAGTTCGAGGCCAGCCTGGGCTACCAAGCGAGTCCCAGGAAAGGCGCAAAGCTACAAGAAAAACCCTGTCTCGAAAAACCAAAAAAAAAAAAAAAAAAAAAAAATCTAGACAACATTGAATCTGTGCTTGCCAGCAGGAATCCAGAGTTTGATTCAATTTGAGGAATGAATTAGACACTGAGATATGAATGTTCTGATAACACATAACCTCCTAGATATGTGTCCCCCAAAAAGTCATTTTCTATCAATTTCCAAGAGCTAGATGATTGTTTGTAAATTTGTTTGTTTGTTTGTTTTTCCTGATGGTTGTACCAAAACCAACATGCATGGAACAGTTAATTTTTCCCCTCAGGAGAAACTTTCATTTCCTTCTTCCCTCTCTCCCTCCCTCCCTCCTGTCTCCCTCCCAACCTTCCTCCCTCCCTCCCTCCCTCCCTTCCTTCCTTCTTTCCTTTCTTCTTTCCTCCCTCTCTCCCTCCCTCCCTCCCTTCTCTTTTCCTCTTTCTTTGGGTGTGTGTTGTATGTGTTTGTACATATGAGTACATATGTGTGAGTGTATACGTAGCAGCCAGGCATTAACATTAGGTGTCTTCCTCAGTCAGTCTCCACATTATGTTTGGAGATAGGGTCTCTTACTAAACTTGGGATTACTGATTTGGCCAGGCTGGCTTGGTAGCAAGCTCCAGGGACATCCACCTCATCCTCAGCACTGGGGTTTCAGATGTATA